ATATATATATAATTATATATACATAATTATATATATACATATGTACATAATATATAATTATATATATTACATAATTACAAATATATATAATTATATAATATAATTTTATATATATTACATGTAATATATATAAAATTATACACATAATCATACCAAATGATCTATGGGTCTTCATTTCCATTCTCAAACTTTTTTTTACAAGTGAAACGAAGACCATAGATCATTAGGCTATTCCCAAGGGGTGGCAGGAACTCTGAATGATAATAGGCCCAATGGCCTATTACCCTTATGGTAGGGATAGTAAATCATATCACATAGTCTGTCTCTTCAGTTACGGTGGCAGCAAGAATCACTCTATAATCTGGGCTCTGAGGTCCTTCTTGGGATCAGTGAGCAAAATGGCTTCACTGTCAACCTGCTGTGTTTTTTGTGGGCACCAGGGAAGGGAGAAGCAGCATAAATGCCATGTATTTATCATCCCACAGATGGCATGTCCATGACTTCTAAAGACTTAATATGGGTTGGGGGCTTATGTGGAAATGAGCTTTTTGTTTCTGACTTGATAATGCCATAAGTGTTAAGCCTCCTGAGTTTACTTAATCATAACCTTGAAAGACCATCTTTGAGTACCAGGAGAGTTTCAATAGCAAATAAAGACAGTGGTTGCAAATCCATTCATTTGAAGTGTTTGTTGTCATCCTCAGGAAATCCTGCTGCCTGTTTTTCTCCCAAGTGTCCAGACACACCAGATGCTTCTCCAACTTTACTGTCACTCATTACTAAGCTGCTGCTTCTGGCATCATTTCCTCTTGAACCACATACAGTTACCTTGTAGAGATTTCCTTTGACAGAGAGAACCAAGCATGGTCTGCTTCAGTTTTTCCATTAGATTTTTCTCTGGGAGCTTCCTTTAGGAGGTCATCACTCATTATTTTTGGTGTGAAATTCTTACAGGACTTTGTAGAGCTAGAGTAAATTGAACATGTAATGTGCCCTATATATCATTTCAAGGCTTGAAAGCTGCAGCCCTCAGCATGCCCGAGGAGTAGTAGATTGGTTACAACGTTTTGGCAGCAGGCAGTTTGCTCAGAGTGGTTGAAAAGAAGTAAACATATGAGGACCTGCTCATTTATTATCTGTCTGCCCTGTAAGGTGTTGATTAGCACAGATCTGGCCCACCCAACTTGACTGACCTCCAAAGAGGAGAAAATGTAGCACTGGGTAGTAGTATTGATGCTTTGAGAGCAGGAAAACAGATTTCAGGTATAGCAGATGGTTTGTAGATTCACTGTGGCTTTTAAGAGATTTATATCTTCAGCCTTTAATTTTATTTCATTAACATTTTTATGAATATTTTCTTGAAGGCAATATTTTCACAAATTTCAAGGCCAACTAGAAAGGTATTTTGTTTTTTGCATCAACTGAAGACAGCATTATCAATGTATTTAAGTGATACTGAGAACTCTATGTGTGGTACTGCTTTTCTCCTCTAGCTACTTGCTGCATTTTCTCATTGTTCCTTCACTTAGAATTCCATTTCTATGTTAGGGTATGTCTACACAAGCATATGGCAGGTATTTTTGTAGCAGAGAAAGAGATCTGTGTGCACACACTTTTACATCATAACATAGTTAAAGGACATGTTATTTTATTCTCTAAACTAAGCCAGAAAGTTAAACTCTTAGTAAACCATCAAACTCCCTGTTATTGTTTATTGTACTGGACATCTTGCAAATTAATTCTACTGCGTATCTACCAGGTACCAGTTTCTGGATTAAGTAAGCCTTGGCGAGCATGACGAGCATGGTAGACACGACTGCTCCGTTAATGAGGTCTTTTTTCTAAGAGTTAATGTTACAAAGGATGTTTTCACATAGTTACTAATATTCAGAGAATTTGGATAAGATACAGTCTTGATCATTTCAAACAGTTTGCCTGTATGCCATCATGTGTTTCCAGAGCAATATCAGGGCATTTTTAGTGGGGAATTTGCATCTATTCAGGTTTTCGAAGTAAAACGAAAATGTACTATCAGCAAAACATAATTTAACAAGGTCGTTTTAAGAAGGTAAGAGCAAATGGTAGTGCAAGTTATTTCATATTTTTTCTCTGAAAAATCTGAAAGTAAAACTTAGTTATGATTTAAAGTAAAACTTATCTCTCATGATTTATTACTTTTTTGAAATAAACTAATATTGCCTTTTATAACCTGTCAGTTGATTATTTGCTGCATTAGATTTAACCTACAACTTGTGGTCTCATGTACGTTTTATAAATGCAAAATCAGATCTGCTTAATGTCAAATAGCTATAGCATATCACCCACTACAATAAGCATAGTGATAAAAGTTTGCCTCTAAGCAATAATGTATATTTACAGGCTACCATACAGAAGGGTTCACCCTTAACTCTTAGCTACTTATCAATTTTATAGATAGTGTAGCTCCTAGAAACCAGGCCTAAAATTTCATGAATTTTACTCTGGTATAGGCATGTATATATAAGGATTTTATAAAGAAATCAAGAGCTGTTGATTTTTAGGGAGCTTTTTGAAGAACCCTATTTCAACACCGTCCTCTTTCCATGACATCTCTTTCCTTTTCTTTTCTTTTTTGAGATGGCATTGCTGTCGCCAAGGCTGGAGTGCAGCGATGCGATCTTGGCTCACCGCAGCCTCTGCCTCCCAGGTTCAAGAGATTCTTGTGCCTCCCGAGTAGCTGGGACCACAGCCATAAAAAAATAAACTTTTTAATTTTTTTAGTAGAGATGGGGTTTCACTATGCTGGCCAGGCTGGTCTTGATCTCCTGACCTCAAGTGTTTTACCTGTCTCGGCCTCCCAAGTGCTGGGATTACAGGCATGAGCCACTGTACCCAGGCAGTCTCTTTATTTCTGAATCAGAATGTCTTGTTTAATTCAAAAATGAAATGAGGTGTGGTATGCTGCTCAATGCTGACAAAACAACATAAAACTTTTAGTAAGTGACATATGTGGCTTTTTAGCATTCTTTTTCTTTCCAACTTTTAGAAACTATAGAAATAGATTAAAAACAAAGTCTGCTGGCAAATGTCTTATTTTATTCTTAGGTGTATTTGATAAAATGTTTGGAAGTTAATGGATCTCTGAAAATTGGGAACTTTTGAGATTTGAGCCACAGTGCCCAGAGGATAATGGAAGAAGGGCTTCTTTTCCCAGGAAATGCCTTATGGGAATAATGAGGGAAGGTGGATGCCTGGCTTGGAACTTCCTGATTAAAAAGAAATTGTAAATATGAAAAATAAGTAAAAAGAGTGAATAAGTGTCATCCTTTGAAAGAAAATACCGAATATAGGAGTCCAATGTCACTAGATGGAAGGGAGAGTTAGGAGTTAGGATAACAAAGACAGTTATGACATTTTTCAAAACCAACAATAGAAATAAAAAGCCACTAACTCATAGTTTCTTACCTAGCGTGAGAGGATTAAATACAAGTTGGCAAAGTTTTTCTTATTTTGTAGGAGATAGAGCCAACCTTACTAGATCCATGACTTGAAATTGGCTGAAAGCAAGCCTAAGTTCAGAAATTCCTGGCACTTTTGATTAATCTTAAAAAAAAAATAGTCATTCTTATCTGACCTTTTAAAATTACAGCAAGACTAAAGAAAACTTGACATTACAATTTAATAGATGCATTCTCAGAATGTGTGCATATTTTTAACTCAAAATATTCTTGCTATTTTTGAGGATTTTGTGAAGCAGTAGATTCACCTTCACACATTGCGATGTATTTTCTGCCTCTTTAGTGTGCCGTGCAATATAACATGCTGTCTACTTTCAGAGGATGTCACATGGTCTAATACTATCTTTCTTATAGCCGCGACCAGCAATGTTTCAAAATCATTAAATTGTCATTGAGTTACAAGAAACCCCAATGACTAAGTCGGCCTGTAAGCTCCCTTCTTTATTCCTGTGCTGCCATTGTGAATGGGCAAGAAAAGCAGTGTCTACCTCATAATTCATGCGTTCTCTGTATCCCCCATGACCATAGTAACAGCGCTTTGTGCGTAAAAGAGAACACTTTGTGATGCTGTCTTTGCTTGCAGGTTCAACTCTTAGGTGAACATGAAAATTATCCCCGTATTAAAATAATTCAATCATTAGTTTAAGCTCATTCTACTTTCCTTTATATAGAATAGAAAATTTGTCTTTAAACCCACCCAAACTCAAAGGCTCATGGCTCCGTGGAGAAACACAGAAAGCTGCCTCTAGGTAACATGTCAGGAGGGGATGGTGCCAAAAGAGAATCCTGGTCTTATCCCTGCTGTTCCTGGTCCTGCTGAAGGAGAGGAAAAAACACCAGATGGGACAGTTTCAGTGTGTGACCACTGGCAAATGTCTTCATGCTGTAAACCTCAACTTTATTATCTAGAAAATGACAATAACCTCCCATTATCTATAAAATGGGGCCACTTCCTACCTCACGTATTTCTCAGGGATGTTAAAAGGGTTAAATAAGTTGGTGTGTGAGAAAGTCTCTGCAAACTGTGAAGTGCTGTCCAAATATAAGGACTCATAACAGTAACTTTTACTAAGCAGAAAGACTAGCAATAGACTAGGCAAGTCACTTCAATGGGGCTTCTGTTTCCTTCTTTAGAATTCTTTCCCCATACTGCCAGCTGACTTTATTTATGTTTGTACTCTTTGAAGCTCTTTGATTTACAGCTGGCACTCCATGATTATAAATATATAGCACTATGCTGTCATCACCCTGGAGGCCAGCATCAGGCTAACTATATAAAATCCTGCAGTTCAGAGCAAAAAGGACCAAAGGCAAGTTTTGGTGATTGCTTACACGTTAGTGACAAGGCTGGCAGCCTGGAGCCAAAATGTGCCAGCACCTACATAAAACTGTCCTTCAGCCAGAATTACAACAAGTCATGCAATCTTTCAAAATTAATCAAAATTAACCCAAATTAACATCTCTCTTGTTTTGCCTTCCTTTTTTTTTTTTTTTTTTTTAAAGCAACTTACGACGTTTTCTCAAGCCCTATGACATCAGAAGAGCCTGAGATTTCAGAGTCCTATACAGGTATACCCGGCCTCTCGATTCTGTCTTTGGATCCCAGGTGTCCCAACAGCACTTGGTGGCTTTTCCTTTAGTCTTTTGCAGAGTGAAAAAGTGTGCTCTCTGGAACTCTGCATGGGTGAAATTTCCACCTGTGTCAGGGAGACATGTTTTACCCACTCCTCCTGTAGACTGATTAGTTCTTTACATCTCTTGATAAATAAGCTCTGTCACATGAGGGAGATGCAGATAGATTTGGCTGCCACTGAGGAAAAGTAATGTAACAGCTTATCACTCTATTGTTCAGAATCGGCATAAAAAGTCTTAAGAGTTTCTAGATCGTTTTGTCTAGAGCAATAAGTCTTAAATGGGGGTAATTTTTACTCCCATCCCTTCCCCAGGACATTTGCTAATGTTGAGACATTTTTGGTTGTCACAGCTTGGGGAAGGACTACTAGCTTCTAGTGGGTAGCAACTGGGGTGCTGTGAAACCCATGCAGTACACAGAGCAGCTTCCCACAGGGCAGTATTCGACCCTAAGTGTCAATAGTGCTAAGGTGAGAAACCATGCTGTAGAACAGTCACATAATTCATTTGACCATAGCAGTTCACTGGGTCTAATCTTTGGCATTCCATTACTGACCCATCTATAGTAAGTTACCTCAGTCCACCAGTTCCTTTTAAAAAATGTTTATCAAATACCTACTAAACTGGGTACTGTAGGAGATTCAAAGGGAGTAAGACTGGTTTCTTCCAGGTGTAGATATATGTCTGATATTTTTTATATATGTAATATTATTTGTGTCATAAATAAAAGTATATAATTTTAAAGAGCAGAAAATGAAACAATGAAATAGAACGTCTAAACAAATAGAAATAGTAGTGCGTTCAGTTAGCAATTATGAAACAATGAAGAAACCAGAAAAGCCCATTGAAAACCAGTTGAATGTATGAAACACTGTTTAATCATGGTTTCTAATATTTAAAGAATGTATGTTTTTTAAAGCGAGCTCCCCTTCAACTCCTAATGTATCACTAATTTAAAAATGTGGGTCAGCAATCCCTCAAGTATTGATATTTTTCCTCGTATGAGGCGTAATTTATTACTCCTGAATTTGTATTTTATTCCTGGGGCCTTCTGCTTTTATAAATGTTGACATTTATTCCAACAGCAACAAGTGACCGTATTCTGGATTCTGTCCCACCTAAAACTTCTAGAACTCTTGAACAGCCAAGGGCAACACTGGGTAATGTTTTTAACAGAAAAATCATACTTTATTTTCCATCGAAAAAAATTCATGTGAATGCCTTTCTTCTAAATGACCATTTCATTCCATCACATCTAAGCATTTTTCTATCTTATTTCTTAATATACATGTCTACATATTTTAAATACGGCCATCTTTTATGTTCCATTTGGGCACTCTGTTTTATTATTTTGAACTGTAATAGATAATATTTTCCCTATACTTTTAGTTAGGAAAGCTTTGAAAACTGCATGAGCATCATCACCGACACCCTCTCATCTCACACGTGTTTGGCCTCTGTCACTTTACTTCCGTGCTTCAAGTCTGCCCGAAGTCAGCTACTGAACAACCATCATTCCAGCCTCTTTCCTATTTTAAATCAGAATTTTATTCACTAGCTTTCAAGACCACATGCATTTTTCATCTTTAATCACGTACCTGTGGCATGTGCTTTATACCATCTAAAAGCTTGTTAAAATTCTTAAAATACCTCATTTTAACTGGGATTATTTGACGGGATGGGGTGTTTGTGTTTTCAGCTCCAAGTGAAACACTGTTTGTTCCTCAAAATCTGGAAATCTTTACCAGTCCTGAAACGCAGCCTACAGCACCTGGTAACTAATGACATTTGTGTAGTTATATGCATTGAAGAAACAGGTAATGTGATAAAAAGTCATGTTGGCCATTTCAGAATCTTGGGTTTTGTTGTTGTTGTTTGTGTGTTTGTTGGTTTTTGCTAAATATTTCCCTTCAGTCTCTACTATGAAATTATTCAGAGAACTGAGTTATCTGTCATACTTAGCCTTATGATCGTCCTCAGAATTTTCACAATCCTGAAGTCTATATATTTTGAGGAATTGTTCCCTTCCAACCCTTCTTTCACCTTTGCCAGCTGGAAAATAGGAGCAGAATTATAATTATTGCAAAATATCTTCCCTTCTACTTAGCACATTTAGATACCATTTGATCAAAGTATTTTACCCAAAGTAGTCTAAGTATAGAGAGCACCAAGTAGGCTTTGCAGTCCTGGACATGATGAGGAAAGATGGATAAAGAGAGGTAATGCAACCTACATATTCTAATAAAATTATTGCAATAGCAAAGTTTATAACTCTTGGTGGGGATAGTAAAGAGCTACACAGTTAAGGTTCTGGGCCAGGTGTGGTGGCTCACACCTGGAATGCCGGCATTTTGGGAGGCCAAGGCGGGCAGATCACATGAGGTCAGGAGTTCGAGACCAGCATGACCAACACGGTGAAACCCTGTCTCTAGTAAAAATACAGAAATTAGCCAGGTGTGGTAGTGAACACCTGTAGTCCCAGCTGCTCAGGAGGCTGAGGCACAAGAATTGCTTGAACTTGGGAAGCCACGGTTATCGTGAGCCAAGATTGCGCCATGCACTCCAGCCTGGGCGACAGAATGAGACTCCGTTTTGTTTTTTGTTTTTTTTGTTTTTTTAAGTAGTTCCAAATTTCTGTTATTTGTGCTTGTTTTCCTACTGTTAAATGTCATCCTTTTGAGTTTTTAATTGTACCTCGTGTTCTAAAATGCCTCAAGGCTGCTTACTTCTGATACATAATTGAACAATGTATATCTTCAGTTCTCACATGGAAGTGTAATATCTTTTGTCCCAGTCACCCCTTGTTTGTTTGAGCACCTATTATACATAAAACAAGGTACTGGGCATTCTATGGATATAAGGAAATATAAAGCAGTTCTTGTACTTGAAGTTTGCAAGTTTACAGGTACAACCTGATTGACCCCTGAGAAATATCATATATCAAAGATATATTAAATCTTCTTTCAGCTCCCCAGCAAACTACATCTATTCCTTCTACACCAAAACGGCGTCCCAGGCCCAAACCGCCAAGAACCAAACCTGGTAAATGTGTCTTTATCCTTGCATGATATGTAATTGCAGATGGATAATGTCCATCTTCTTATAGAAAGAAGGAGAGCCAGGTGCGGTGGCTCACACCTATATCCCTAGCGCTTGGAGAGGCCAAGGCAGGAGGATCACTTGAGACCAGGAGTTTAAGACCACCCTGAGCAAGCCAGTAAGACTCTGTCTCTGCAAAATGGTTAAAACATTAGCCACATGTGGTGGACTGCTTGAGCCCAGGAATTTGAGGCTGCCGTGAGCTATAATGCCACCACTGCATTCAAGCCTGGGCAACAGAGCAAGACCCTGTCTCCAGGAAAAAAAAAAGGATATGTTCTATAGTTTATTTACAAAATTTAAGATTAACTAAAGATGAATAATTAATGTGCAAAATAGCAAAACTCAAATGCCTCCAAAAGGGGTTTACTGAAAATTATACTTTTGCATGTGAATTTTGGTAAAAAGCTAGAAACAAGTCATACTCATAGCAATATAGGGTGATACATGTAAATCATTTTTTGTGTGGGAATGTTTATTAAAATATTAGGGTGATGGTTCTGATTTTTTTGGTACCTACTCTGTTTTCAATTTTGCACCAGGGCAATGGCTGAGTTAGAGAGGATGTGACTCTGGTTTTCAAATAGATGGTAACCTTGAGAAGTTATAACATAAAGATGACCGCACAACATACATTTATGTGACTTATTTCTGAGACTATAATATTTGTGTAAATGCTTCAATCATTTACACAATGCTTGAAGAAAGAGGTGAAGATTCAGGCTCCAAAATACATGTAGGATTTAGACAGAAGAAAAGGGGAAGGGAATAACATATATATTATAGCACAGAGTTTGGGTGGTACAGATGCTTATTAACCTGGAGGTCGATTCTTCATTGTCAAACAGTAACACTCAGAATCATGTTTGACCAACTGGGTTTTGCTTATTCTATTATAAGATAAATGTAATTTTGTATGATGTATACGCTTATAACAGCTTAAAAATTATTCCTCAAAATTTTAATCATTGTATACTTTGACCACTAAATATGGCAGGACTTTAAACAGGTCATTGAGTTCCTCTGTAGAGGGTATTTTTTTATGGTCTCCAGGATATTTCAATATTTTTTTTCCTTTCCATCATCAGAAAGGACCACAAGTGCTGGAACGATTACACCTAAAATTTCTAAAAGCCCTGAACCTACATGGACAACACCGGGTAATAATGATATGTCCTTCGTGGACATGTTGCTTCATTTCACCGTGGAAAATCTAGCACCCCAGCTTTTATGTAATGTCTATTAGCTACTGAGATGGTCAAAATGGCTCATTGGAACAGTAGGGCCCATCTCACAGAGGATACCAACTCCATAGCTCTTGTGCTTGTGGCTAGCTGACCCACAGTTAATAGGTCTGAACTCAGCCTGCAGATGTCATTCTGAGCCAGCTTTTGAACCATTGCTGCTTCCTTGTCATCTATCCAGTCATTGTATTTGAAGCTGAATCTTGTATACAGTGCTCTTTTTATTTTTACTAACACTCTCAAGTTCAACTTCAGACTTCATTTGGAAAAACAACTTTTAATTTCATGCTAGTAGAATTACTTTATGCTTCAGATTATAGCATTATGCCTATTGGTGAATATTTTTTGAGAGTAATTTTTTATGAAAGTGTGTTTAGGTAGACAGGCTCAAAGTGACAGATTTTGGAAACATTAGGAGAAAAAACTCCACTACCCTAAAATTATATGCAGGGAGTTTATGTTTATTGTTGTATCTTCAAAAGACATGTACATCAGTTATTGGTTTGGATGATTTTACATTTTTTCCTTTTTAGTTTATAAGGCTGATAAAAATATAGCAGGTCTTAATACCGGTGAGGGGTTGATAGGTGCAGCAAACCACCACAGCACAAGTTTACCTGTGTAACCTGCACATACATTGGCAAATATTAATTGTAAAACATGGTGGGGTTTTTTTTCCATGGTGCTCAGACTTAGATGTGCTCGAGAAACATAAAGGGTGCAAAATAATTAGACTGATTTTTAAAAATCATAGATTAAAAGACCTAGCTTTTCTTTGAATAATTATTGTGACTATTTAGTAGCAATGCTATATTTGTTAGTTAAATATATTCTTGAAATGTTTTTTCTATACAAGATGAAAATTAACTACTTCTTTGGGAATGGATAATGAAATATTCTTTTAATGGAGTATTTCCAAAATATTCCAAGGCATTAGGTTCTTTCCACTTAATGTATAGTTTATTTCTAGGTTTTACTGCTGTGGTTTTAGACACTGAAATGGCTAAATATTGATTTATTTATTATTTTGTTTCTTTATTTTTCCAGCTCCCAGTAAAACACAGTCTATTTCTTTGAAACCTAAATTCCCTCTCAGCCCAGAAGTGACACACACCAAACCTGGTAATTACCCTAAACTTTTTTGAATATTCCAAAAGTGGGGTCATGTTTTATGCAATTCTTTGGAGCAAGAATTTCTGGTTTGTATGTTGACGATTGTTACCTTTTTCCATGTAAAGAGGGTGCAAGCATGCAATGAAATGATCTCATCATAAACAGCCGCAGTGATATCACAGCATTGCTCTGAGAACTGTGGTGGATTTTTATATTCACGATCACCACAGAGAAAGCACAGAAATGTAATGAATGATTGAGAACTCCCCTTCTAGTACTGCAAAATACTTTCCAATACCAATATTGACTGGAATTCTAACCACATAAACAATAGTCTTTCAGCTGGAAACAAGATGTTTCTGTCTTCTAAGAACTCTGCATTATTTTAGAGCTTCTCAGTTCTCAGGCTAGAAGACCAGAAAGACCAGTATTTTCCTAACGATCCAAGTCTTCTAAATTGGTGCTGATTTCTGAACACCGACATCTGTTTACCTCTTAGGAATTTTTAGTGGCGTTTTCCTTTAAAAAAAAAAAAAAAAAAAACTGCTTTTGCAGGAAGGGATTGTTCTCTATATATAATTTAAGACATGAAGATTGTGGAATGGCTGGGCGTGGTGGCTCACGCCTGTAATCCCAGCACTTTGGAAGGCCAAGGCAGGCGAATCATCAGGTCAGGAGTTCAAGACCAGCTTGGCCAACATGGTGAAACCCCGTCTCTATTAAAAATACAAAAATTAGCCGGATGTGGTGGTGCGTGCCTGTAATCCCAGCTACTCGGGAGACTGAGGCAGGAGAGTTGCTTGAACCCAGAAAGTGGAGGTTGCAGTGAGCTGAGACCGTGCCATTGGATGCCAGCCTAGGCAACAGAGTAACACTCCACTCAAAAAGAAAAAAAAATTGTGGAATATATTGAATGACCAAATTTTGGAGTTTTCTATCTATCTGTAATTCATATAGCAGTCTTAAATGTTGACTTATAAGATTGACTTCAGGGAACTTGTCACCACTGAGTGTCATCATTATCTAAATATTAAACCCTTACCACTGGAAGGAAAATATTTCTCACTGTAATGTTTAATGGATTTTGAACTTGCATTTCCATTAATGGCATATTTACAAAGTAGGATTATTAAAGCAAGAGATTTTCTGCTAAAGTGGGCATGATTTATTTTTGCAATGAAATAGCTAAGGAAGAAAAATGTAACTGCTCGAAGAAAGAATCCTCATTACTCCCTGTAAAGAAGCGGTGAGACTTCCAGGTGTAGGTGCAGACTGAAGGAAACTGGGGATTAGGCAAAGGGAGTGTAGTTGACACTGTGACCATTGATGAGGTCTCCAAGTCAGAGAAATGGAATGAAAAACTCCCACTCAGTGGTTTTTCGGAGGAAGCAGGATAGCTAGTAAAACTCAATGCCTTAATAGTGGTTTAAATCAAATAACTCTGACAGCTTATGAGAGAAGGGTTTAATACACACTTATTTAAAAATCATGCTTAGAGAGCTTTGGGATAAAGTAGCAACTAGGCTGTATTTTGAACAGAGGGCTATTACCAAGCAGATCATGAAATATTACTGTTTGTTTGAGTCATCAAATTTAAGCATTTCTCTCCAAAATAATTATTTCTGTTATTATAAAATTGAAACACATCAAAAAATGCTCCAAATATTGGTTACAGTTTTATATGATAGGTTACATTGTTCATTTCAGTGGTTTCTAAGAAAAGATTTCTGAGAGGAAATTAATACAAATGAGGAAGGAAGGGTATATTCTTACCATTCTAAGGTGTTTGAGCAAAAAGACCTCTTAATTTCACATTTCTTTTAAAATAGGAAGAATTACTTGGAGGCTAATGTGTTTACATTCCTTTGATTTCTAAACCTTCTAATCATCTAAGAAAATCCACCTTTCTTCTAACAGCAGTGTAATGACTTTAGAATCCACACCCAGACCTGTGCCAACTCAACAGGACCTTGAATGGTCCATAGCAACACAGGATGACGACTGGATCTCTGCAAACCATTGCTTTCGCTTGAGATTCTTACATGTTATTTTATTTATTTTTATTTAGGGCAGACCACCCTTGTAGCTCTCCTAAAGATCTCTGTTTCTAGCCAAGGTTCAGAAGAGCAAATAAACCACCCAAAGCTTTTTGAGGCCTCTCCAGGTGCTCTCCTCACACTCTTCCGGTTTTCCGTTTCACTTTCCATTACAGGCTGCTTTTCCTTTGGCTTTACTTGGTGGTTCAGTCAACGAGGAAAAATCCACATTGATTTGGGCTTGTTATATAAACACAATTCAGTGCATTTCTCAAAAACCACAGCCACTTACCATGTCTTAACTTGTCTACCTCATCCAATGGGAATTGTTTCCTTCATGGTTTAATCTTTAAACTTCTAATGGACTGAAAATAAGGGAGTGCCCCAGTTACAGGTATTTGTTTCATGTAACTGTCTTCCAAGGTGGATAGAATTGTAAGTTGTTCTCATTTCTCCCCATGTATGTGAGTCAAATTTGTCTTTGTTTTGTGTGGAGATGAGTGGCTTAGTCATGTACAGACCACTCAGCTTTGTTATGGAACATTTTGTAACTTCACCCATAATTCCTTATGATTGCCAAATAGAAGAAGTCTTGTCAGAAGAGATATTCATTTTTACTAAACATAGACTTTTATGTGCAGTTGACTTTGAAGCTTAATTGATGGAGTGAGTTCTATGCCTGTTTGGTTTCGAACTCAGTTGGGAACTCAAAAAGGCAGATTTTTCCTTGTAACTTTAAAAGCGACATTCTTTAAATTTTGTGGAGTCTAAAAGATGCAATGAGTAGCAGATCTTATGTTCTTTGTCACTTGTGGAAGGCAGCTTTGTAGAATCAAAAACATGAATCACAACCTTGAAGTTTCAAAATGATTTGTCTGCTATCTTCAGGTGTGAATGCTTATTTCATATTGATTATATTTCATGTATTGATATTTATTTTCTTCTTGTCCTATAGCACCGAGATACCTAGACTATGCGTACACTGTCTTACACATACACACCTACAATTCTTTCTTTCTCACACACTCATTCTCTCTCACATATTCTCCTCTCTCCTTCTCCCACATGTACTCTTCTCTCCTTTCCTCTCTCTCACACACACACACATCCTCCCCTCCCTCTTCCTTTCCCTCTCTCCTCTCACACACACACTCTCCCTCCTGTCTTCTCTCATACAGCTCACTCGCTCACACACTCACTCAGAATTTTCAGTTTGTCATAGGTATTTCAGTCTGACACATCACTACTGCTTTGTGTTCATCTGTTACAATCTATCTCTGCACAAGTTCTTGAGAAATCAGTATTCTGGGCTTTTAAAAACAACTTTTCACTTGGTTCTTTTGCACCTAATCTGTACTGTTTAAAACAACCTTAACACACAATTTTTTTGATCACAGGTATGCTAATGGATGACAACGCCTTTAAATAGCACCTTATGCTATTATGCATTGCTTTTAGAAATAAAAATTCTCTACATGCATTCTTACATTTTTCAGTTGCTAAAAACTAGTTGCTATATAGAAGCAATTGTTGTTAGCTGCTACATAGAAACAACTCCCTTGTTAAGTAATATCAGAGATAATTCCTGATAAGTCTAATAATGTTAGAAATGTATAAATAGAAGAATGATTTAAGTTCTATTAAGATGGTCTGTGAATGCCATATTGATCAGTTTCTTTCTATAAGAAAAAAGTTCAAGAATCTTAATTTTTTCTTTCCATTTCAAAAATAAACAATTCATTTTTTATTTTCTTCTTGTTAAACAGCAATTCTTTTTGTTCATAGAAGAATAAGAAACTTATTGGTTAATCTTTTTTAAAGCCAAAATATTGTAACCAAAGTACATTGAGCATGAAATTTAATTTACTGATTGCTAGTGTGAATAAACATTGGAAAGTTTATCAGAATATTTAGATGTTATTTAACATTTTATGAAATCTGAGACTGCTTTTGGACTCATTGGGTTTTTTGGACTCATTGGTTTACCATTCAAATGGGTTAACTTTCATATGTGAACCAATTTGTTTACCAGCAATAGAAACTAGTGAATACAGGGGCCGTCATATGAACTTGCAGTCCCTTTTGAACCCTAAGTTTAATTCCTGTCTTTTTGTGCGGGAACGCCAGGTCCAGCCAAGCTGGAGATCGTTGCAAACTTAACAGCACAGACACAGTACCAGGGGTTGAGTCTGTTGCCTTTTCTATTTCCTTGGATGAACCTGGCTGTCCTGCAAGAAACAAATGGCAGGTGACAGGACACTCTGAACAGCCTCAGAGAGGCTACTCAGGACTCCCTCTAAGTTAGTATCTCCTCAGCACCAGAGGCAAACCAGAATATCGGGAAGTGATGGTAACAGCTAAAAATCAACAACAAAAAGGAGAATTCTCAATTCTTGTGGTTTGTAGAGAGGATGTGGAAGGCTGAACTTCACTGGCAGAAGCCAGTAGAACCTAATCATTCACCCAGGAGAGAACACTGTTTAAAGTAAAGAACATGTAAGTTCTATCTTAACGGGTACTCTTCAGCATTGCTTTTGATATTACTTGCTTTTATTGCAGCCCCAGAACCTCAGACTCCACTGCCCTCAGAGTCAACAATAGGTAATAAAGCTTTTTATAATAGTGAAAACAAAGTATCTTTAACACTCTCCATGTTCAGCTTTGGGTTTTTTTGTTGTTTTTTTTTTAAATATTGTTCTGTGCTGTTCTTTTTTTTTTTTTTTTTTTTTTTTTTTGACATGAAGTTTCACTCTTGTTGCCCAGGCTAGAGTGCAGTGGTGTGATCTCGGCTCATTGCAACCTCCACCTCCCAGATTCAAGCAATTCTCCTGCCTCAGCCTCCCAAGTAGCTGGGATTATAGGCCTGAGCCACCACGCCCAGCTAATTTTTTGTATTTTTAGTAGAGACAGGGTTTCGCCACCTTGGCCAGGCTGGTCTCCAACTCCTGACATCAGGTGAGCCACCCACCTCGGCCTCCCAAAGTACTGGGATTACAGGCAGGAGCCACCATGCCCAGCCCAATATGTCTTAATTGTCCTTCAGTTCTTTTTCCAGCCATTTTTGCCCGAAGATATACTATCAGCCTGTGCTTGATTTATGCAGAGGTTCTGAGACACCCATGAAAGCAATACTAATTTTAATTTGATACATTCTTTATTTTCTCTCAGTTCCATTTTAGGAATATGTCCTGAGTTTGTTCTAACCTGTTTATTGCCAGGGGAGGAGCCTGACTTTCATAGGATATATTTATGTGTTCTCTTTTGGAGGTGTTTTTCTTACTTTCAAAACTCTAACTTTTGCAGATTTTCTTGAAAAGCTCTGTGATTTTTACAGATTTAAATACTCTGATGTGTCACTAGGAAATCCACTCAGAGAAATAGAAAAACCAACCCCAATTTTTATAGCTTTTCTTCAAAAGAGAAAAAAAAAATGTGTTCTGGTGCCATCTTAGCCAATTACCCATATTTTCCTTCATAACATGACCTGCTGGTTGCATTATTACAGTCACATATTCCAAATGAGAATCTTGCCTTTTTGTTCCACTTCTCTTTCCAGACTTAACTGACTGGCTACATTTTTTGTTCACTTTGTCAAAAACACAGGAATCTATTGAAGTAGAAAAGAAACTTCATATGTGAATAAAAGTTTCACCATTTATATTTGCTCAACCTAGTAATTAAAAATTAAGCATATTCCGTGTTTTAAATACGTGTCCTCATTTTTCCTTTGATCTTGATTCATTCTTGATTTTTTTTCACACTGTCTTAGGACCTGAAACACTGGGAACGAAACCTTCAACAACAACATTAGGTAATAGAGTTATTGCGTGGCTGACCTTCATTTCCTCTTTTCCTGACTGCAGGTATCTGTGTTGACAGGCTCACATTAATGAATTAATACATTAATGCCCATTTGTGTGTGTAAGTGCTTTGTTCTTCAGAAAAGAAAAAAGTCCCATAGATAGTTTATCAACTGTGTCTCATTTTTTAAAAGTTGCCTTTCCTGAAGTAATTACTCAATTCAAAGCCTTCTGCTTATATTGTTGATTTGTAGATATTTTAAATGCTAAGTGAAAAATTTCTGTGATTGAATCTTAGGCTAAATATATTTTAATTTTTATCCCAAATGGCTTTATAAAGGCAACCTTTCACATGTTCCTGTTGAACATAGGCCTTCAGTATTTTTGAATGACTGTCTTCTCTAAGCAGTACAAAGTTTTGAGATTTTCCATCTCAAAATGGAAGAACAGATCTCGTGGACAGTTTATTAATCTTTGACAAAAGTTATTCAAGACCTCATTTAACTAGGTAAATAATGATAGAAACTCGCAAAGCAGATGGACACATGTCCACAGTAAATCAAAGGGCTTAACTGTGCTTCTAAGATGGGTGTAATATTTATCATCAGTTTGTAAATCCACTCTTCTTGTATTAACTTGCTAATTTTCTTTCTTCAGCACCACGAAAGACCAAAAGACCAGGTCGTCGCCCCCGCCCACGTCCCCGCCCTAAAACCACACCCAGTCCAGATGTGCCCAAGTTCAAACCGGGTAAATGTGATATTCACGTTACAGTTAATGTAGGAAGTGGAATATGGCAGCTGTCACCTACTTGAGCAGCTGGGCTTTAGGAACCGGTGGAATTGACTTTGAGCATCTGTACTCACTTTCTATACTCATTTTTATATGCGTACTGTATAATACGTTTATACTCTCAGTCATAGTTATTAGGTACACACAGCAGAAAGCTGGCCCATTAAGCGGATTACTAAAGTAAGGCACCTTGAAAGCTTATGATGTGCATTCATGGCAGCTGAGGCGCAGGGAAGCACCAAGGAGAAAGGACAATAGGAAAAGTAAAAGGGAAAATCACATTCAGAAAAACTACATCATTTAGACAGAGTATCCTAGCTTGGGGCATCATGTTTCCCTCCTCAAGATGCCACTTCTTTAAATACTTGATGCTTTTGGTGTTTCCTTCTGTAGCCCGGGAACCTGCCACGATACTGCCGGAACCCTTGGTGCCCACAATTGGTAATTCTACTCCCCCCACCCTGGCTGCTTTCACGGTTGTTGCTTTCGCCTTCCCCATTCTCCATTACAGGCATGACTGCAGTTCCACCGCCTCATCACCATTTCATCCCACGCTTTTCCTCACCTTTCCTGTCTGGGTCTGAAGATCCTAAAGACAGAGTTCTAAAACGATCCAGTGTGCTCATTTAGGGAAGGTCTGTGGTCTCGCACACAACCTCCTGGTTCTCTGCTGACTTCTGTCTTCCCCATGTGTCCTGGGGTTGAGAAAGCCATCAGCTCCCTCTCAGACAGGGACCTCTGTGCTCATCCTGCGCTGAACAGATGGCAACATTTTACTGCAGCGCCATGGTTCGCATTTCACTGCTTCACTGATTCAACTTCTAAGACTTTCTTCCTTTTAAAAAGCTGCTTGAAATAATGGTTTCTTTGGTTTTTCTGTTTCTTTGAAAAATCTTTTTGAGTAGGTTTGGATAACTAGAGGCACCAAGATGATCCTTGGTCTAGAGTCCAATGTAAGACTAGTGATGGTCTTTGGAACTTGAGAGCATTAAAAGTCCTAAGCTGGTTTTATTGCTTTTAGTACTAAAACTGTTTGATTATAATCATTTTATTATAGTTTAACTCTTAAAATCTAAAACGACTTTACTTTGGAAAATCCCAGACATTGGCAGCCATGTAACATTATTTTTCTCATGTGTAATTTTAAGTGTTTATGGATTACTTCCGATCATCTCCTAAGCAATCAGATTTCTACCTTGCTGTTTTTATACTGAATAAGAAAGTATATTCTAATTTTCCATCAGAGAAATAGTACTTTGTCTATTTTGAGGTTATTTATATAGGAAAAACATCTTATAACACTTCTTATTACTTTTGCCCAAAAACACATTTACTGATCGTTTTTCCTTTCAGGAAGAACTAATTATGCTAGTTTGTAGTAAAAATGGAGACCCTTTTCACCCTTCCCACACCCAAGAAATTTTTATAGATTCATGGAATCTGTATAGTGTTCAGCCAACTTATTCTTAATTTTCACAGTGACAGCCATGACCCATTTTGCTAATTTTAATACCTTTTTCTTTAGCCTCAAAACCATCCGAGAGTCCTAAAACCACACACGGACCAGATGCACCTCAAATTCAGCCTGGTAATCGCTACTTTCAATGCCTTGATCTATAAATGAGAAAACAATGTGTAAGTAACATTAATCTTCACATTCACAGCTCGGCTGTAACACTAATTATGGCACTAATTTTCTTCAGGTTCAAAACCACCAAAACAATTACTTCCTAAACCCCAGACCACAGCAGAACCAGACATGCCACCAACTAAATCCGGTAAACATAATTTCCAGTGCTTTAGCTTAACAGGATTTTCTCTGGAAGCATTGCTGAAAATGTTTACAATCTGTCATATCATATAAATCATAGAAACCCAAATACCATAATTTTGTTCATTATCTTTTCCAAGCAGCCACACTGATGTTTTAAGTACTAAATGAACAAGTCAATATGTAGAAAATTAGTAAATTTTATACCTGATTTACTGGCATTCCATTTTTTAAAGCATTCTTGGGACTATTTTCTGAATTTGTAATGAATAGAAGCCTGAGTCTTCTGTGTGTGAAACATTTTTGAAAGTGATTTTAGTAACCACTATTAGTACACGTAGAAGGCTGACATTGCTATTCATTTATAGGCACAGCTGAGAAGAAGCCTTGCTAGTCAGGGATTGGCTTCCTCGAAAATACTCTGTGGACATTTTATTTTATTCTGTTTATTTATTTAGAGAAGAAGCCTCACTCTGTCACGCAGGCTGGAGTGCAGCGGTGTGATCTGAGCTCACTGCCACCTCTGCCTCCTGGGCTCAAGCGATTCTCCTGCCTGAGCCTCCTGAGTAGCTGGGCCTACAGGCACACGTCACTACACCCGGCTAATTTTTGTATTTTTACTAGAGACAGGGTTTCACCACGTTGGGCAGGCTAGTCCCAAACTCCTGACCTCAGGTGATCCTCCCACCTCAGCCTCCCAAAGTGCTGGGATTACAGGCATGAGCCACTGTGTCCGGCCAACATTTTAAACTGCAACTATTAACTGAGTAATTTTCTAACCACATAAGAAGATGTTTATGTAACAGTTCTCCGACTCCAACTGTTTGGCAGTTAAAATTTTCTCCCGAGATTCCAGTCGGTATAAAATTTTAATTTGCTAAGAAGCATCTCGCATAATAAATAAGCCTATCAAGAAGGCGCTTTATATTAACTTAGAATATCTGTGTCCTTCGAATTAAACACCAGTGAGCAACCACAAGTTTACACTTCCTTGCTTTTATTACTCATATCTGTTTATTTTTTATGATGCAGTCTCTGAGCCTGTTCCATTTGAAACTGAAGCTCCCTCGATGACCATAGGTAATGATGCTTTCTTCCTTCTTGGCCCTCGTTTCTCTGAGCTTGCCCCTCTCATCTCTTTCTTCATTAGCTGTAGTGTGCACAGTTGTCATTCACCATTTTTTTGCATTTTTAAAAATTGTTTACTTGTTTCAACAGGGGCCTTTTTAACATCATTAGGCATTCTTACATCTGCTCAGCTTGTAACACGTAAATGTTATTCTTTCTTCAATCACCTTCGGAGACATTCAGATTGCCCTCAGCACTTGATGCTGACAAGAGCCACAGGCACTCTGTCTATATCCATCTTGGGAACCAGAAAAGTATTTGAAACTTCTGCTTCTGTATGTGTGCAATTTATGGGAGTGGGAGGGAAGCGATGAAAAAGCTGGTTGGAGTTTGTCCTTGTTGTGCTTATAAGGAGCTCATGATGTACATAACTGTTTCTTTCTTGCAAAAGACCTTTCGTCTTGTTCCACATTAGTCATATGCAAATTGATCTTTCTGTTGCTAACTTTGTATTATAATGCAAAATTCCAAGCGAAATAAGGATTCCCTGTTTGGTTTGAAGGTAATCAATTATAAATCTTGTCATCCTGTTGTCCCGGCTTCCTCCGTATCTTCTATTATATATGCCTTTAGTTCTGAAGATGCTCTCAGGGGTGGCTTAAGCCAACTTTGTGCTGTGACATCTTGAGCAGTAAAGGAAAGTCAGTCTCTCTGTAAACAAACACTTAAAGAGATTTTGAGGATGAGATGTTTGTTACATTTAGCCTTCTGGGTTTAGTGAAAGGTAAATGGAGATGCTAATACCGGAGAGTTACAATTCTTTATTAATTTTATATCTATGTATAATCCATTTCAAAATATAGAAATCCTGTTACCTAGACAAAAAGTTGAATTATTACCTTTTAGAACTTTTTCTTAATATGTTTTCTACTTGATTATCTTCTGATTAGCCATTTGAAATAAATGAATAAGGAGACAGAGCAAGAAGAATATCACATTTATTACAAATAAAAGGTGTAAGACTTTTCCACACCTCTCACGGATCTCCATAAATAGACTGAGACACTTTGAAACATTTTCTAATTCTCCTCACAATCACCACACTCAAATTAATAATGGTGGTGAAAACTTTTCAAGTACCAACAGAAGCTTTTAGAACAATTTTTTGGAGTACTTTAAAATTACATCTTGGATGACTAAGATTTCCTTGCAGCCAGGTTTTCTGTGTTATTGGAATCAGCGAAATACAGGGAAATACTTTCATTGCCTTATAGGGATGCAAAAGATAATGGCTATTTTGTGAGATAAATGAATATGATATGTTCATTTCATTTCAAATGAATATGATACGTTCATATTCCCAGTAGTTATAGGAAAACAAATACTATTTTCCCAGAGTTCAGAAATGCATTTAAACTTTAAAGGGTTAAGATTCATTTTCAAAATCATTTTCTGTATTTCTTAATCTCCATTGTTTATTGTATTGCTTTCGGTTAGTTCCCACCACAGGCATTGAGCCCGTAACTGTGAGAACTGAGGCTCCAGTGACAACATTAGGTAATGACCTTTTATGTCTTCATGAGTTTGTTTCTGCTTATTGTCTAGTCTATTCCATCACTGTTTGGGTCAAGGGTTTTTTCTTTCATAAGGTTTTCTCATCATCCTCTTGTCATTGAACCATATTCTTTATTTTGAGTGTATTGAAAATGTTTAGCCTGGGCGCGGTGGCTCACGCCTATAATCCCAGCACTTTGGGAGGCCGAGGCGGGCGGATCACGAGGTCAAGAGATCGAGACCATCCTGGTCAACATGGTGAAACCCCGTCTCTACTAAAAATACAAAAATTAGCTGGGCATGGTGACGCGTGCCTGTAGTCCCAGCTACTCGGGAGGCTGAGGCAGGAGAATTGCTTGAACCCAGGAGGTGGAGGTTGCAGTGAGCCGAGATTGTGCCATTGCACTCCAGCCTGGGTAACAAGAGCAAAACTCCGTCTCAAAAAGAAAGAAAATGCTTAAAACAAGTTACTTGATTATAAGCCCATAAGCTGCTAGTGAACAGTATCTGTGACCCATTTTTCCCATCTTATCCAACTTTACTAGTGCTTGACAGAGCCTGCAATTCTGCTCAAGTAGTGTTCTATGTTGAAGCTGAATTTCAGATACAATTAGGAATGTCTGCCTGATGAATATCAATTATAATTCTGTGAGCATCTTACTTTCTGGTGTTTTAAGATACACGGGGAATTTTTATTGCCTACCAACTATTTTAGAAAATGAGATGTGCTTACGTTCATAATTTTAATGGGATGTATGTCTGCGCCAAGTAATTTCTAAGTACACTCTCCCAAAAGCAGGTGGACCTGGGTCCCTCTCCGATGTCTGTGTGCCTGCATCTGACTTCCCTTGGTTCTGGGCCCTCTTCGAAAATCCCATACCAGCAACTAACAATAAAACTGAAGCTTATTTTTAAAAATTACATATATTCCATCTGTCTCAAAAGACCTGTCAGTAGACCAAAAACATGTACTTTTTTGCATGTACATGCAAAAAACATGTAGATGATCAGAAGAAATTTCAAGCCAAAGAGACAGATTTCTCAAGGCTTAAGAAAACTTTAGAAAACCTAGAGTCATGTGTAATTGTTTCATTGGTTTCTGGAGTCATAGGACCTCAATAACCAGTTTCCTTTCTTTAGCTCCAAAAACACCACCACGAGCAAGAACACGTCGTCCACGTCCCAAACATAAAACCACACCACGCCCAGAGACACCGCAGACCAAACTAGGTAAATAATATGTGGTTCCTTGTCCTTGTGACATCCTGCTGGATGTGGTATGGGGGTGGCAGTTTAACATGCCACCTTATAATCCATTTGACCCTTGGGGTGAAGACCCAAGTCACGGAAAGCAGCCGCTAACAACACAGTGCCCTGGCGATACCTGTAACCTCCTCATGCTGCTTCCGAGAGGACCTCCTTGGTGCCTGGGTATTTTGTTTGCTTCTCTAACTCTCAGTGACATTTTTCTCTTTGTAGCCTCAGCTCGGCAAAAAATTTACCTGTTAGGTGTCTGGTGAGCATATTTAGTTCAACCCGTCACACGTTTTGAACGTTTGCATCTGTGGAGAATGTTTTAGAAAAAAAACAAATGACTTACCTGAGTTAAAAGAAGCTGCTCTTACGTGAGAGTCTTCATAATAGATACACGGGAGTGGGAGGAAAAGCAAATATTTGTTAAATTTTACCAACTGTTAGGCACGTAGTTAATTCCTAGAGAAGTAAAACATCTGTGGGCTGATGAGTGTAATGTGGATCTTTAGGGAGAACTCCATTTCTACAAAAAAATTAAGAAAAATTAGCCAGGTATGCTCATGTGTGCCTGTAGTCCCAACTACTTGGGTGACTGAGGTGGGAGGATCACTTGAGCCCAGGAAGTTGAGACTGCAGTGAGAGACGATCGCACCCTCGCACTCTAGCCCAGGAAGCAGAGCAAGAGCTCATCTTGCGGGCCTTAAAATTTGTAGAGCCTGTAGATTTATTGGTGGTTGGGCAGGAATCACATAAACAGAGGCAGGAATGTGTCCTGAGAGGGTGACATCAGAAGGACAGGAACTGCAAGTGCCACCTGATCGTGAGAAAGGCAATGTTCTTTCAGTTGGACAGTCGTGCTACTTTTGATGGGTCCACAAAGAGCACTTCCAATGCCTGACTTTGATGACTGGATTTGAGCCAGTTGGCTCCAGCATGCTCTCCTAGGGTCAGGCCTTTTCCATCCTGATAACGGAGATGCACTAACAAGTTTGATGGATTGAATGACCCTCTATATCTGGCTCTTTGTATGCCTTTGTTTGAACAGAGGTCTTGGGCTTTTTCCAAAGTGCACCCTCAACAAAGAAAAGCATTGTCTATTTTAGTCATTCATCACTGTAGTTGCTTAAACGTATGAGTAATTGCATCTATCATGAACTCAGGCTTTGTTTTCCAACTTACAGTGCAACTAATGATACTTTCACATTAATTTGTCATAATTTTTAAACATAACATTATGAGATGTCCTAAGATTTTTCTAAGCAGGGTTTTCTATTTTCTACTGTATTATCAGATAATATAAAAATAAGAAAAACTGGTAGCTAAGCACGTTACAGATGCTAAGGTTATATCTGTTTCATAAAGTCAAATATGTACCCTCACTTGACAACTTCAGTGTTTGCTTTGTGGCTGTGGAACTAATGCCATAATGGTAAAGTTCCCTTCTTGGGAGAATGATGGCTTTTCTCATATGTTTTAACATTTCTTTTTAAAATTGCTTTTGGTCATTTCTCACTACAGACTTTGGACCTATTACTCCTGGGACTTCTTCAGGTAATGACTCTCTGTGTCCTTCAGCAAGTGCTTTCTCTTACTCATTGTCAGATTTAGCTATGGTTTCATATAGGTGATGGGACCATCTTTTGCTGTCATCTCATTACCGTATTCATCTTAAAATACAGGACGCTTTCTCTTTTTTTTTTTTTTTTTGAGGTGGAGTTTCGCTCTTGTTACCCAGGCTGGAGTGCAATGGCGTGATCTCGGCTCACCGCAACCTCCGCCTCCTGGGTTCAGGCAATTCTCCTGCCTCAGCCTCCTGAGTAGCTAGGATTACAGGCACGCACCACCATGCCCAGCTAATTTTTGTATTTTTAGTAGAGATGGGGTTTCACCATGTTGACCAGGATGATCTCGATCTCTTGACCTCGTGATCCACCCACCTCGGCCTCCCAAAGTGCTGGGATTGCAGGTGTGAGCCACAGCGCCCGGCCGGCAGCTTTCTTTTTAACAGAAGTATGCAAGGATTTAATTCAAGACAGCTCTCTGCTCCATAGCCCAGCTTGAAATTGTGTCATGTCTGAGTCTCTGAACAACATTGTCTGTCAGAGCCAGGATCCAGCTACAGCTCCCTACACATTCCCTATTTAGAGCACCAACGCAGTGTCAAATGATAACATCCTGAAGTTTCTTTGTGCATCTTTCTGTCTCTCAAGTTCTATATAATTTTTATTTTTTGCTTTATTGATATTTCAATGAATTTTATATACTTAGTCTAGTAAATTACCAGGGGGAAAGTTTCCCCAAGCCTAGTTCACTATTCCCCAAGTGAATAGTGTCAGGTTAAGCAGTGATTTGAATTAGGGACACTTCTAAGAAACTAATGGTAGTTTCTAATGTTTGTTTCTTAAATGTAATTATGTGTACAATTTTTGTCTCTGGAGAACTTTCAGTTATCAAAGAAAACCTATTAAGATACTGAAGGAGAAATTTCAAGCCAAAGTGACAAAGTTCTCTCGACTCAAACTCTTAACAAGGGAGGGTCTGACCTGAGCTGCGCTGACCAGGCTGTAATCCAGAAGTTACTTTATACCTCCCTTGTACAGCTCCCTTTCTATTTTTTCCTCTTTTTGTTTCTGTTTTTGTCTTTTTATTCTATGTACAACCATTCCCAAACATCTGTCTTTTTAATCTGCCTGTCATTTGTGTTACTTTGTTAATGTATGAGTAATATTTTAGTGAATTATGTAGCAGATAATGTGATCGAGGCTAGTAGGCTTAAAGGCTAGTAGGTCTAGTATTTAAAACCTTGTGGCTGTGTCGTCCTATTCATAGTGAATGGAGCCATCGGCACCATATTAATGCTAAATTTTCTTCCTTCAGCTCCAACAACAACAAAAAGAGCCCGTCGTCCACATCCCAAACCTAAAACCACGCCCCGTCCAGAAGTACCTCAGACTAAACTGGGTAAATACGTAGTTTCTGTTTTACAGAATCCAGCCAGTCTACCACGATTGGGACTGTTAAGTTCTGTGTACATATGATACATTGGATCATGCCCTATATATCTCTTAAGAGTAGAAGCTACTGGTTAGTGAGGAGAACATGAATAGCTTAGCACCTCTTGCTTGCTTTATAGGGATCTTCTCTGTTGGTGATTATTTACTGTTCTTGCTATTTTATTTCATTTCTGTCTTAAAGCTGCTCAGTATTGAGCCAGTGCAGTCATTTAAATCAACTACTTTTATTAGTCCCTTCTAATTCCCCAAAGCGATATTAGTCCATACATCAGAAGTGGGAAGGTGTTTTCCTTCCCAGCCAGTTTGCACTGTAGTTGTAAACAAAAGCTGTTCTTGCATAACCAGGGGGAAACTCAAATGAGGCAGCACATTTATGCAAATATTTCTTCCATAGTATAAATGCTACCTCCTAGAAGCATGGCAGATACTTAGAGGGGGAAAATGTCCAGGATAATTAGAAACCAGTATAGAAATTGGATGAGTAGAGGGATGAGGAAACAGAGGCTGATAAGCAGGAAATGTGTTGAAACTGCTCACCAGGATAACTCACAGAGGATAACTCACTGATACTCTCCTCTGCAGTGATGAATTAAAGGGGACTGGGATGTCTACTCAAGAGCTTAAATTTGATCTAAGGGCCGGGCGTGGTGGCTCACGCCTATAATCCCAGCACTTTCGGAGGCCGAGGCGGGCAGATCACGAGATCAAGAGATCGAGACTATCCTGGCCAACATGATGAAACCCCATCTCTACTAAAAATATAAAAATTAGCTGGGCATGGTGGCATGTGCCTGTAGTCCCAGCTACTCGGGAGGCTGAGGCGGGAGAATTGCTCGAACCCGGGAGATGGAGGTTGCAGTGAGCCAAGATTGTGCCATTGCACTCCAGCCTGGCGCCTGCTGACAGAGCAAGACTCTGTCTCAAAAAAAAAAAAAAAAAAAAAAAAAAAAAAAAAATTGATCTAAGCAGCTCCAACAATTCCTATTTCTGCACAGGATCATGCTTTTTCTGTTCTTAGAACCGAAGATACCCAACCCAATGGTACCAAAACCGAGAGCTGGTTCTTCAGCTACTTATGTTAAAGTACAGCTGCATTTACGAAAGACTTGGTCTCTTAATGAGTGTAGTCTCAGCTTCCTTTTGGCTGTTAATGTGTGTGGTACACGAAGTCTAGGCAACACCCCCCATCACCACCACCAATAATTCCCTGCTTCTGGGGTTAACACCTTTATATAATCTATCCTCTCCTTCTCACCCTCCCTCTCTCTCTCTCTACCTGTCTCTCTCTCCCTTGTGCTAGCATGGCAGACACCCTCCCAGCACGAGTGACACCCATCACCTTTGCCTGATTTTATTGGTTAGAAAGATGTCAGAGATCCATCACACATTCAAGGGGAAGACATAACACAAAGGTGTTGACACCAGAGGCAGAAATCACCTGGGATCGCCATAGGGGCTGTCTGCTACACTGTGTTTACTTTCAAACGTAAATGTTTGTTCTAGCCATCATCATTGACTACTGCTTATAATAAGTGCTCTATTGCCTTGTGTTTTGTTTTTTGACTTCCACAAAAGTTCTAAGTCTTTACCATATCTTTTTCTAAGAAAGTGACTAGCCAGATTTTCTAGTGTTCATTAGAATCAGATGGTTAACCAACAAGATCTTACTGTTGACCTCAGTGAGATGCTCAGCCAAGTCCAAAGGCTATTGCTGACCATCTTCTGAGTCAAATGAGTACCTGATGAAGGTTTAGAGAAATATTCAAAGGAAAAGAAATGCAGCCACTTTCTTTTGAGTTGCAACATTAAGAATTACTTTTGCAGCCTTGGAAATGTGTTTAGTGGTAAGATGAATGTTCTGACATTTTGTGCATTCACAAAATCACTTTGGTTTCTTTTATTACTTTTGATCAGTTCCTGCCACAACCCTTGAACCGGTTCTTAGAACTGAGGCTCCAGGCACAACAGTAGGTAATGGCACGTTATGTCCATCAGCATCTGCCTCTCCTGCTTATTTCCAACCCATTCATCACCATCATAACCACAGCTTCTCTCACTTCACAAGGCTTCTGTGTCATCCTCTATCATTTAATTACTTCTTAATAGATATAAGAGTATTAAAACAATTTCCTGTTGGTAAGAGAGCCAAGCATGAACTTAGGGTCAGTTTATATAGCTGCAACGTAATGACTTTGAATTCCCCACATCTTGCTCCCACATAACATTTTAACCACATTCTTTGTTACTGAGTTTCACATTTAGTCACTGGAGGATGGGGGGGTGGGGGGAAGGTGTCTGTCCCTGATCTAGGCTGAGTAAATTGGCACAACTATTAGGACGGTGTGACAGTTCTTTTGCAGATCTAAATTTCTACATTTTTACTACGCATGATTTTGTTTTTTTTGTTTTGCCATTTGGGGGTAATGATGTGTTCTTGTTTCAGTAAAGAGTAAAATATGTGTTCTTGTTTCCCAAGTAAGGAGTAAAATATGCCCAAGGTTGGCAAATTTATAAGCACCATCACTAATGTAAAATTACCTTATACCTACCCTCATCCCTGCCATAATTCAGCAAGGTTTTAGAACTTGTTTTTCATTCAGGAATCCCTGTGAGAAGCTCCTTGAAATATCATCAATAGATAAACTCATGTTTTTATGTGATTTTTGTTCTTCAGAAAATAACTACATGATAAAAAGAGACACCGTATTGAAACAGGGGCAAATATTTCAAACCCAAAAGAAAAATTTCCTGGAACTCAAGAAATTATAACAAGTATAATCTTATCCACAGCTTCTGGAACCAAATATGCTGTATTAACCTGAAGTTCTCTTCCCTCAGCTTCCAAAGTGCCTCAACGAACTCACCCTCCACATCCCAAACCTAAAACCACACTGAGCCCCGAAGAGCTTCAGACCGATCTGGGTAAATATGTAGGTCATACTTGAGGAATCCTAGGAGCCACCCCAGTGGGACCCAAAGAAAATGACGTAGCAAAGCAGGGTCGGCAGCTGATCCCACGTCAGACCAGGCAGTGAGGAACAGGGCTGGGGAGATGATGCAGTAGCCAAATTCCTATGCTTCGCTCTCAACATCTATTTAATTTCCTTCTCACTCAGTTCTCTTCATCCCTTCAGTGTTGAATGTATGATGAACTGAAATAGCTAGAGAATGAGCACATGTTCATGCAAGTGGGAGATTATTTCTCGGTAACTGTAAGAGTCATTTAAGTCACAAATAAGGATCTAAGGCAGGAGTTGGTAATGTTTTCTAGACAGAGCCAGATAGTAAATTTTCTAGGCTTTCTCAGCCATATAGTCCCTGTAGTACTTTCTTCTTTGTTTTCCAACCACTTAAAAACAGAAAAATCATTCTCAGGGGAAAATTATTCTGGGGGAAGAGTAACGGAGTTCAGGGGATGTATGGATTCCAGTCTGAAGAGGCAGTTTCTCTGAACGCTGGAGGTTGTCCAGCTTGCAGGTGTTGATCAGAACATTTCTTTGAGGTGTCTGCACCTAAGTGAGAAGGGATCTTGAATGCTGGCCTAAGGAGTTTGGATTTTATGCAGGAATCTTCTGCATCCCTGTACAGTCAGGCTTTCTCTGGGTGTTGCCCAGCTATATATCACAGACTGAGCGCTAGCCCTCTTTCTCTCTGAAGTACTCAAGTTGGACAAAGCTCCTGGTTTCGTTCCAAAGATGAGTTTTCAGCAAAATGTGTATGGACTATTGTGCTCTATTAGTTAGGTTCAGATCACCAAAGAATGAGAGAAACTCCCGGGGTACTCCACATGGACTGTTATCTGAATTATCTGAAAACAAAGTGAATGACCATTCCTCCTAAGAGATGAATTGGTACCAAGGACAGAGGTGCCATTTTCTTTCAGCTCAGGGGGCTAATTGTGTTTGCTTTGTGCTCTGGGCAGATATATCATGACCTGGTAAATTCTTTTTCAATGTTCTGAGTTTTTATAAACTTTTAATGTTTTGTTGATGTCGTCTTTGTTATTTTTGGCCAGTTCCTGCTACAATCTTTGAACCAGTTTCTCCTATAAAAGAGGCTCCAGGGACAACATTCGGTAATGCCACTTTCTGATCTTGAGCAAGTGCTTTTTCTGCTCAGTATCAAGCTTATTCCACTGTATATTGCCATTCAATTACCTTTTTTTGTTTTATGATGGCTGAAGGGACATAAAACAAGTTGCCTCTTGCTCATAAGAGAGCTATGTATGAATCTAGTTTGAGATCTTTTCCTGCTCTGTAACTTAAAATTGTTTTTATATCATTTTAATCAGAGTTCTCTATTAAGGGAAATTTCATATATTCTCGGGAGGGTCTCATCTAATCTGTGCTAACCAGGCTGTAATACAGAAGTTTCTTCATACATCCCTTACACATCTCCCTTTTTATGTTTTTCCTTGTTTTTGGTTTATATTTTTGTGGTTTTTTAAAATCTTATATACAACCATTCCCAAACATCTACCTTTGTAATCTGCCTGTTATTTGTGTCATTTTGTTAATGTATGAGGAATATTTTTAGTGAATTATCTAGCAGATAATGTGATCAAGGCTAGTAGGTTTAAATAATAAACCCCATCCATAGTATATATCCAATTCTCCATAGTCTCCATCATAATGTGGATGGTTTATAACCTTTTAAATCCAGACAGGGCACTCTAGGAGAATGTGATAAACATATTAATCCTAAATATCTGAATTAATAACTTAATCTGTCAAATTTGCACATTTGCAAGTTTGTTACTGAAGTATCTTAAATAACAGAAGAAGATTAAAGTAGGAGCAAAATTTTTACATTAGAAAGAGATAGTTCCTGAAGCTCGGGAAAGTCTACCAAGCTTTAGGAAAGCCAACGAAGATTTTTTTAAGCCTATAATGTGCAGAAGCATAAGATTTAAAATAACTAAGGATTACCTTTTTCTACCTCCAAAACCTCCCAGTGAACACACCGTTCACAGCACAATCTTAATACCACTCCATGTCTGGCTGCTCTTGACACTGTACCAGATAGATATAGGGTCTTTGGTTTAAGGAGCCTGGGGGCCTGTCATTGATAGAAATAATAAACTCACATACCCCTTAGTGAGGGAGTCCAGAGGGCTGTTACCCCCTCATGGTTGACAAGGAATCAGTTTAGAAGCGATCTGCAGGGTACCCTTTGGGTAGTAGGAGACATGTTTTACCTCACAGTCCGCAGGCTAGTTGAACACAGAAACGTTTCCCACATGAAAAGCCTAGAGAGGGAGAATAAGCCTGGGTGTTTTTGCAAATTAAAGATTTTTCTTGGGAATATGAATGTTAAGTGTTAGACTTATTATAGGGTCTTAAGGTAAAAAGTGAAATTGGGTTTCAGCAGAGCCAGGAAAGAGTTTGGGCCTTGAAGTCACAATTTGCACACATAGGAAGGCAAGAATGAACAAAGATGGAAAAGTTCAATCTATGTAGAGGCGACGGGAGGAGGCAGAGATCCTGCTTCTAGGGTCAGCCAAAACATTTTTGTTGGTAATTCTGCATTTGGATGACACTGTGGAAAGTGGAAGGAGGGCTTGAATGTCTTACTCATTGAGTCTGACATTGTTCTCATGAGCATCAAAAATCTTTTTTCCACACAAGATCATGTTTCCCCTCTGCTAAGCATGGACAGTGATTTACTGGATGCCACGGACTGAATGGCCACCCTTATCCAGTCCTCCTGAGTGCTTTTGTTTGCACAGAAGTGAAAAGTTCTTTCCAAAATGGAGCTCCCCCCAAGATCACCCATCCTTTTTAGTGATTTGTGTGCTGACCATTTAGATATTTCATCATTTTCTCTGCAACCATAATTTGATAAACATGTATAGTACATCCTCTCTTTATTCAGCATCCACTGAAGTGCAAACCAGTTTTTCACGTGCTTCTTGAGAATTATTAGAAACGTACTAAGAAAATGCCTTAAAACATCCTAAAGTCTTCCATATTATATTCAGATAAACACCGTAACTAGAGGAATTGTTTGCCTCGTGGTGCTGAATTACAGAGACCAAAGGTGATGACCGTCTCATGAGATGGCATAATTGCTATAGTTTGGCCAAGTGTAGACGAAGGAAAATTTCCATTTGAAAAAGGGCCATTACAAAGCAGTGTCAGTCAGGTGGGAGATCGATGCATCTCCAAGTGTGCTTTCTCTCGAGGCCTCTTTCCTTGTCTTGCAGATGGCCGCCTTCTCGCCATATTCTCACATGTCCCTTTCTGTATGTGTGCAGCTCATGTCTCTTCTTTCATATAAGTCCATGAGTTCTGTTGAAGTGGAATCCCACCCTTATAACCTCATTAACCTTATCTTTTTAAAGGTCTTACTCTGAGGATTAGGGCTTTGAATATGAATTTGGTGTGTTGGGGGAGGGGTGGAACTATAATTCAGTCCTAACGCCCTTCATCCAGAGATGTTTAATTATCCTAGAGGCCATGTTAGGCAAGCACGATGATACACTTTGATGTGAATACTACAGCTCCCACGCGTTTTTTACAGTCTCTCTTGTTTATCTTATTACTTCAGTTCCTGTGACAGACCTCGAGCCTGTTACTTTTAGAACCGAGACCCCTGCAACAACCTTAGGTAACGACGCTGCCATTACCTGGCTGTTTGCCAAGTGCTTTTGCTGCTCATCGTACGGTCCTTTCAGTGTCATACCTATAACATGGCGTGTTTTCCCCTGCGAAATAGCAAATATCACTGCCTGTGACCATTCAACTATTTCTATCATCTGAAGAATCCTGAAGCCTCCTAAAAACAAGTTTCCTATTGTTTTTATGAGAGCCGGGCATGAGCTTAACCCAAAACATTTACCTGCCGTGTGGCACATTGGAAATTGTCATGTCTTCTCACGCATCATCTAACAGAGTTCTGTGTTAACACTGAGTTTAAAACAAATTGGGATCTATTTCATATCTAAGCTGATCAACAGTGACAGCTACTCCTACTCTCCTTTGCACATCTGAGTTTCTAGATTAAAAAAAAATTGCCCAGTATGTTTCTTTCTTTATTGGTGCTTCAAGTAATGATATTTTTATTACTAATTTGACAATTAGGGAATTACTGAAGTCTGAAAAATTATAAGCCTCAATGTGACCCTAACTTCCTATCCCCTCCCGTTGAGTACTCTGGCTCTATCATTTTTTCCTCAGCAAGGAAGTTCTGTAAATTTCTCAATACAAGTGCTAATCTTCATTCCTTGGGTGAGCAATCCTACTGTATACATGAATTTTCCTGAAAAGTACCATAAATAATAAAAGGACACATCGTTATAAAAGGAATGAAAAAGTAAAACTAAAAACAACTAAAGTTCCTGGAACTATAGGACATCTGACAAGTCTTGGAAAAGCCTTTTCTCAGTGTCCCGAATCGTAAGACCTAGAGTAACACAAGGCTTTTTCTTCCTTCAGCTACCAAAACATCAAAAAGGACCCGGCCTCCACGTCCCAGAATTAAAACTACACCGAGCCCTCAGGCACCTGAGACCAAACCCGGTAAATGCGCGATCCCTCCCAAGCTGCTGCAGTGGGGACCGAGGCAGTGCACTGCTGAGCAGCAACAGCTCTTATTCTCCCTGAGCACAAGGGCATGAGGCACCATCAGTACCATCTCCTCTGCTCAGCTTTCAAGGAGAATAATGTGTGGGTGAGACCCAACTGGTACCAGCATATCTTATTATTTCTATGTGAGACTCCTCTTTGAAACTACATAGTGTATTTCTTACTGTCAAATCCCATTCACATCTTAAAGGTAGAGCTTCTTTAGCAGAGCCAACATTCAGTTCAGGTAAACATAATTGTAAATGTCTTGCATATTCCCGTTTCCACACTGGACATTGGCAAGCATAGGTGATATGCCAGCTGTAGGAGAGTTATTTTACTGCAGAAAGAGTGGAGTTGAAGATGTGTTTGGCTAACATAAACATGAAGTGATGATCTTTATGTTTTATCTCAGAGGAAAAGATCGAGGTGGGCTGGACTTGGACCTTGGGCCTGCTGAGGATTTGGAGAACTGGAGGGAAGAATGAACTAGGGCAGAAGGACCACATGTGTTGGGTCAGCTAGAAAGGCAGTCCAGTCTTGATGGACTCCTTCTAGATGGTCATATGTGACTGTCGATGATGGTGCATTTGGAAGGGTACTTCAAGCCAGATGAAGCAGGATTTTTGAGGACCTAATTCAGAAGCTTAGATTTGATACAGAGACATCAAAAGTCTTTGATTTCCACTTATTCTGGGCTGAGGGCAGACAGATGCTCTACTGATTATTACAAACTGAGTGATCATGCTGTTCAGAATTAATTAGTTAAAAACCTGATAGAATTTCATGTTGATTTCTTTAAGCTAGTCAAGATAGCTCAAAAGCTAAGCCTGAAACTCATCATGCCTATGGTTTGGCCTATCATCAATGAACACACACACTCTTCCCTTCAGTTAAAGAAGTAATTTTTTTTCTTTGTTTCTCTGGAAGAATTCACAGACTAGTAAAGTGTGTTTGCATGTGAGTGTTCTAACTTCTCATATGTTTAAAAATCTCTTTGATTTACATGTCGTTTTGGTCAGTTCCTGCCACTGTCCTAGAACCTGTCACTCTTAGACCTGAGGCCCCAACAACATTAGGTAACGTTGATATACTGTGTTTTCGACAAGCTTTCTTTTGCTTATTGACATACGTAGAGTTTCAATTTGTGTCATGTGACAACACTGTCATTCTTGATGGCCATTCAATTATATTCTTCTTGAAAGTACGAAGACTCTTGAATTAACTGTTGTTTTTAAGAGAAGCAGTCATGCATGAATCTACTTGAGGACATTTTATTTGCCATATGACCTGTAAGCAGTGTTTGTGATAAAGCCATATTTCAAACATATCAGTGGGTCTCTAACTCCTACCTGAACAGATAAAGCTATCAACTCTCATAGAGCCAAGAGACTCATTGTGCATCTAAATTTCTAATCTTTTTTCTATTTGCATAGAAATGTATTATTTTGTCTCTAATAAGGTCATAATATGTTCTGATTTTAAAAGTTCTAAGAATATGTGCTAAAAATTGAAAGATTAAGTTGTAAATCTCAGATTTAGTACAACTGTCCTTCATTATCTATTAAAATTTGGCAATAGTACTTAAGTTTTTTGGTGCCTGGGAAGGCTACCCTATGAGATTTCCATTCAAATTTCTAATCTTTATTTCTTGAATTAAAAAGTGATTTTTGTCTTAAGGAGCTTTCTGTGATAAAAGAAATATAAGGAGGAGTGTATGTGACAAACATCTCAAAAGGCAAATCTATCGAGCTGTGGAAAGTCATGTTTTTACCTTGCACACCTTCCAGAATCACAGATCATGTAGTTTTGTAGTAACCCAAAAACTTCTTCCTTCAGCTTCCAAAACATCACAACGGACACGTCGTCCACGTCTCAGAACAAAAACCACACCACGTCCTGAAGCACCTGAATCTAAACCAGGTAAACCATGTGTTCCTGGTTTAAAGAGTCCCTGAAGCCTAAGCCAGCAGGGTCTCAAGAGTAATCCCAGTGGTTGGGAGTAACCAGTATGCCCCTATGAGAGGGAAGCCACGACTCATGGTCAGCAGCTGTCCCCGCTGTGTGGATGTAAGAGAAACTGCTGGGAAGTCCGTGGAGCAGCTGAATGTCTCATGCTTCCTGTGTGCAGTCTTCTCTGGCACTGGGCATTTTATTAACTTCCATTTATCTCTTAAAAATGAAACTTCTTTAGAAAGATGAGACATGCTTAGCTCAAGTCAGCAAATACTAAGTGCCTTAGATATCCTCCAATCGTATTAGCACATTTGGGGTATGCATCAGATGTCAGAGATGCACTTTGGTCCTCAAACCTGTAAGAGAGTTGAGAATGAAAGCCTTTGCTTTGTAAATAAAGGATGGCACGGGGCAGTATCAGGGCAAATACAAGGCTGGTTTTGGAGTGCTTCCGACAAGATGTGCTAGGTGTGCAAATATTTGGAGCAGGGAAATACAGAGTAAGAAGAAATGGAGCCTTGAAATCACCAAGGTTCATAGATGAGTAGAAAGGTAGGAAGAATAAAATCAGAAGGAAAAGACTCAAGTAGAGACCAACCAGAGGAGACAGTGTAACTGGACCACTGTTGTAAAGATGTCTTACTTCAAGAAGACAGGCAAATCCCTTGTGAATCTCACTAGGACCATGTATACCCATGCCTAGGTCCCTGATAGAGCAGTAAGGATTGCTGTGGTAGACATCCGCAAGCTGTTCTTTGTGTATGAAGCCATGTTCTTTCTTTGCTTAGAATGGAGGAATATCCAATTCAATTTGTCATGCTAAGGCCTCTGTCTCTTTCTAAAGATGAATTCTTAGCAATACCTACATAGTCCACTTTGGATTATTAGATAATCAGAAAGTGAGGAATAAGGAAATAGGTGCCTGATTTAGGTATAGCCACATTTTATGAAATCAGCTGTTTACTTTTTTAGCTTAACAGTGTTTCAAGGCTGCAATATAATTCTATAAGCTGTATGATACTAGTAAGACTCATTTTTGAAGAAAACTTTGAGTTTATGTTCATTTAAAACGATCACTTGGTTAATTTTAATGCTTTTGGTCAGTTCCTACTGCAGAGCTCAAACCTGTGACACTCAGAACTGAGACCTGGGTAACAACACAAGGTAATCAATAACACATTCTGTCCTCATTAAGTGTTCTTCCTTCTCATTGTCAAACCCATTCCACCATCAGAGCCACAGATTCTTCTGCTTTTTAAGACTACATCGTCATTTTCTGTTGTCATTTCATCATTCTTCATCCCGAAAGTATTGCAAACTCTGACTCTTAAAACAAATCGTACTTTGTTTTTAAGAGAGCTATGCATAACCCTAACTCAGGCTATCTTCTGAGTATGTAACCATCTGAAATTATTTTGTCATCCAGTGTGTTTTTAACCAATTTTTTGTTAAAGGTGACTTTAAGATGCATTTTTCTTGATTCTAACATTATCAGAATACCAGAGTTTCTTGATGAATCTGAAGTTCAATTTATTTGTTTCTGCCATCTCTGTAATATTCTCTGATTGACAGTTTCATTAATTATGTGGTCTTTTTTCTGTGACTGTCAAAGAACTTATAACTGACCACCACTACTGTATTTTAGCAGTAACTCTTAACTTTTGTTTGAAGAGTCTTATTGACTATTCTTCACCTCTTAAATTAGCAATTTCATTTTAGATATGACATTTCCTTCCAATAAACTTTCTTCAATTGTAAAAGGAGACATACTCTTATAATAGTGACTGTTACTAATAAAAAGTTAATAAGACAAATTTCTTGAAATATGAGAAAATCTAGTAAGTGTTAAGAAATCTCAGACCATATGTCATGCTACTCATGGCTTCGGAACTACGGACTCCATAGTAATGGAAGGTTTTCTTTCTCCAGCTCCTAAAACATCACAACGAACTCGTCGTCCACGTCCCAAACCTAAAACCACACCAAGTCTGGAGGTTCCTCAAACCAAACCGGGTAAATTTGGGTTTCTGATTAAAGTAGCTCATCCTAGCAGCTCTTGGGAATCTATAACTGATGCCAGTGATGGAACTGACATCCTGTGTGAGCCCTACATGGGTGATGGCACAGAATGATCTGCTGCTGCTCCCCCTGTTGAGTTAGCAAAGGAGAACATAGTTGGGATAGACCTGTGTGGCAGGTGAATTCCTTGCGCTTTCTGCATACAGGTCTGTCTCCTACTGTGTATCTTATTTACTAGTTCCTATTTCATTTGTCCTCATAAAGACAAAATGCCTTCATTAGAACCAGGCATTTTTATTTCTAGGAAAAAATTTTAGTGCCTGTATCTTCCCCCAGCCGCATCAACAATGGTGAGGATATCACGGGAGGAGGAAGTTTGTTTTTAATGTCTTACCCTGTAGTATAGTCGAGGTTGACACCTGACCCAGTGTGAAACATGCAAAGATTGACGCAAGGGAGTGTGTCTGTACAAACTGAACTTGTTTTGAGGGTGCTATACACATCTACAAGCTTAGACAAAGAAAATGTTATGAAGAACAGGAACAGGAATAAATGATTGGAAAGAAGTTGGGTCTTAAAATCTTAGAAATGAAGAGTCAGAAAGAAAGGAGGGGTAGAGGCAAGTCAGAGGGCACAGGTTTCATGAAACACGCAGGATTCTGCTTCTGAGTGGAGATGACAGCTGCATTTGGAAGGGTTTATAAGAGCACTTGAAGAAAGGCCTTGAAGATATGACTCGGAATTTGCATCTGACCCAAGTAGCATCACCCATCTAGAAAACGCGTCTAGTCCTGCATTTTTGTGACTGGGGAGCTGCTCTGTGTGTTTATCCCTTTTCCCGATTTGTTGAGGGCACATGAAATCTCAGCCTATGATTCCCGTTGCTTTGTTCTTTGCTATGTCTCCTCTCAAACAGGCTATTGATTGTATGCCTGCTCATTTCAGCACACTATTACCCCAGAAGCTAAAGTACAATAATTAAAAAATAAAGCTTCTGCAAAAATGCCAACAGTTACTAGGACAGTTAGGTAAGTATATATTTGGTAAGATGTCTGAACGAGCTGCTAGGGCAGTCTTCTACAATAGTTGGAATTAGACGCTCAGACACCTAGGAGAATATTATGTGGACTTTATTGAGATGTGTGCCAGATTGTGTATGCTGTCACTAAGTGCCTCTTAAAAAAATTGTTTATCTGGCTATAAGATGGTCACATGTTCAAATAACAAGTTCAAATTTCAGAAAATTTCTTAAAATTGCTATATACTGATTGAAGCAATATTACACTGGAAAGATATACTGACTTTTCACAAGTGTTGATTTCATTACTTTTCATTAGTTCCTGCTACAGATCTTGAACCTGTTACTCTCAGAACTGAAGCTCCAAAAACCATGGGTAATGAGAATGTGTGTCCTTCAAATAGTGCTTTTCCTGCTCATTGTCATGGAACAGTAGTCAGTCTCTTCTACATCATGAGATCATTCTGTCATCCTTTGTCATCGTTCCATTATAGTCTTTATCTTGAAATTATCCTAGACTCTATGTCAAATTATCAGTTGAATTTGAGAGAACTGTGCATGAACCACCATCAGGACATCAAACTGCTTTTAACTGTTCAGTGTTGTGTCCCGTGATCACGTACATGTGTTTAAACAGCACTAACCATTTCAAGCTGCATTTCAAACATGAATCTCTAGCTGTCCTTTATGGTGCTTATTCCTCAACAAATGTTGGGAAGGAAGCACAATGTTTCTTTGCTCATATTATTTTTATGACTTTTATTATATTAGGATCTATACAATATTTTTTGTTTCAAGGAATGTTTTTAGTAAATTGTCAAATTGTAAAATGTACGAAGTCTTGAAAGTTTTAATGTCAGGCTTCCATAATAGGATGGACTGACTCTTTATTCATCTCTATTAAGGTTTAACAGTTTCTTAACTTTCACTGAATCAGGGACTACGTTGAGATTTTGATAAGCACAGCTTATTAATTACATGGTGTTCTTTATGCTTTCATACATATGAATTCTTTATGGTACTCATAGTTATTTAAACAGTAGATAATGAGACATTTATCTCAACCTCTACAGAAGTGCAAGTAGACTGATAAATGCCTTTTTTTTTTTTTTTTTTTTGAGACGGAGTTTAGCTCTTGTTACCCAGGCTAGAGTGCAATGGCACGATCTCGGCTCACCGCAACCTCCGCCTCCTGGGTTCAGGCAATTCTCCTGCCTCAGCCTCCTGAGTAGCTGGGATTACAGGCACGCACCACCACGCCCAGCTAAATTTTTGTATTTTTAGTAAAGACAGGTTTCACCATGTTGACCAGGATGGTCTTGATCTCTGGATCTTGGGATCCACCTGCCTCGGCCTCCCAAAGTGCTGGGATTACAGGCTTGAGCCACCGTGCCTGGCCAATAAATGCCTTTTTCAGTACAGTTAGAAAAGCATATATTATGCAAATATGTAAAAAGCTTGTTGAACAGTCTTTCGCTAATGTGGAATCAGATAAGCATCTAGAAGAATGTCTTGCTGACCGTGTAGTGATACTAAGCTGAGTGCAATGCTGTCTTGCAAGTCTGTCTTATGAAACTAATTGGTACCTAGCTATGGTTTGGCCCAGTCTGCAAAAAATGAGTCTTACTTTTCTCTCAGTTCTGAAGCTTAAAAATTGACTTGTGAAATTAATATTCAAGTTAAATCTCTTGCTTTATTTTATTATTTTTGTCTAGTTGGTACTGCCGTCCTTGAACCTGACACTTTTAGAACCAAGCTTCCAGAAACAACGTTAGGTAATGATATTCTATGTTCCTGAAGAATTTTTCACTGCTTATCTTCAAGTCCATTCTGTCATGATCATAATCACATTATCAGCAGCTTTGTAGGACAATCTTGTCATCCTCTGCTGTCCTTCAACTTTATACTGCTTCTTTTTGAGAGGATTAACCTCTCAAAAGGCTAATTAGTGATCCTTAGTTATCTGTTATTTTCAAAAGCTGTACATGGACCTAATTCTCAGAGTTTACCATGTAATCTTGTTTGAATTTGTGTCATGTACTTTTGTCTAAACAGCATTCACGTCTAAAGCTAAATTTCAAACACAGTTGCTGGTGGCTATATCTTGTCTAGGCTGACTAAACTCTAACAGTTCTTATGGTATTATGGATTCTTTGGCATACTCAAAAGGTTTAGTGTGAGCCTAAGACTCTATCACCCAGAGTTTGGCTCTAGTGTTTGTTTTTAAAGTTAAAGATGTATGAGTCTCTTCACTTTTTGACTTGATTTTATATGTAAGTTGTCTCTCTTAAGAATTTTCAGTGGTTAAAAAAAATTAACAAAATAGAAAATATTTTCATCTTAAAAGATATGGGACTTAAATCTGAAGGAAATATGATATACCTTTAAAAACCTAAATTTTGTCTCCAAAGCCACCTGCACTAGAGTAATCCAGAGTTTCTTCCTTCAGCTCCTAAAGCACAACGGACACGTCGTCCACGTCCCAGACCTAAAACTACACCTGAAGTGCCTCAGACCAAATCGGGTAAATGTATGATTCCTTGGTTTAAGGAGCTGAGGAGCCTGAACCCTAGCAGGCTGTCCCAGTCAAGTCCCAAAGAAATGCCTGTGATGGGAATTAACAGTCATCATGTTCTCTAGGAATCAGGTTATTTGACATGGGTAGCAGCTGCTTCTCGTACAGAGCTGTCCAGGAGAACATGACTTGGGGATACTTGTGTGCCTGATCTCCTAAATGACTTGGTTTGGATGAAGTCTTACTCTCTTTAAATAGGTGTTTACAGCCAGATGGGCAGGTTATTCATGGGTATTCTTGGATATTCAGGGGCATTTATTGCTGTATCTTCATGGAAACACGTGTTCCATTTGCTATAGACATGATTACATAAATAGGCATTTTTTCAACTTCCAAGAAAGGCAATGAGTTACTTTCATATATATTTCTCTATATATTTTCATATTTATTGCCTAAACAAATTTCCAAAGCAAATATCCATACTAGTTAGAAACCCGTATACCTAGGAAAACCTCACGTGGATAATGTCAAGACTGTAGCAGATTTCAAAGGTTGTAACTGCCTTCCTTCTATGGTGCATTGTTCTGGCCAATGTGGCCAAATCTTCCAAAAGCAACTATATGCTTCCTGTCAATTCCAAAGTTTAAAAAATATATATGTATCATTTTCTGGGCATGGTGGCACATGCCTGTAATCCCAGTTACTCAGGAGGCTGAGGCATGAGAATCACTTGAGCCTAGGAGGTGAAGGTTGCGGTGAGCTGAGATCGTGCCATTGCACTCCAGCCTGGGCAACAGGAGCGAAACTCTATCTCAAAAAAAAAAAAAAAAAAAGTAAAAGAAAACTTGAGGGTGTTCTTTTAAAAAAATGTGTTTAAGCGTTCTTGTATTCATGTTGTTGCTTTTGGTTAGTTTCTGTTACAGGCTTTGAACCTGTTCTTAGTTCTGATGCTCCAGGAACAACATTTGGTAATGATTTTTGTGACTCTCATTAAATGCTTTTTATTGCTGTTTATAACCCCACTCGAGCACTGTCATGGCCAGAGCTGCTTCCGCTTCCTGCGATGCTGCTGTTATTCCATTCTACACTTCGTTTAAAAATCGTCAGGGGTCTTAATTCAAGTGTTACCTGTTGTTTTTCACAGACGTCCCTGGACCCAGTGAAGGACGCTATCTGTCAGGAAACTCTCTTTAAAAATGCACCGTATGATTCAGTGATAAATATGAGGTCCAGATTGGTATTTAGTATTTATAGATCTAAATACTCTTCCATTTGTTATTTAGATCTGTAAAGTAACAACAATTAAGTACCATGAACTCCCTTTGAGTAACTTCGTTTCTATAAAATCTGTCTTCTTCTCATTATTCTCTTCCTATCTTAAGGAATAAGGTGTCCGTGTTACATTAGCATAAAAAGTAGTTTTTCCCTGAAAGTTCCAGACTCCTCAGCCATTGATGAGCTTGACCACTCTTCTTCACCACAGTTTAGCAATGGCTTTTAATCTCTGCTAAGTAGGAATCCCTCTGAATGTCTATGCATGTTCAGTATTTATTTCTTTAATCACTTCATATGTGATTTTGGTCTCTAAAGGAACACTTAGTGATAATCAGAAACAAAGTAGTAATTTTTTAATTTAGAAAATAAACTCAAAAAAATATGTTATAAAAAACATAGGTCTACATACGATGCTTTCCATGATTTCCAGACCTACAAACACCATAGCGACCCAAGATTGTCATCTTGTAGTTCCAGAAACAGAAAGGAGGATGAATACGGGTTATTCTATCTCTCAGACCTTGAACTCCCTAAAGCCTCTCATTTGAAGTAAGAAAAACCTGTGCTTTAGGTTTTAGAAGGTTTAAGGAGTCCGTCTAGCCCATTACAGTTCAATCACAGGAATGACAATAAGCTTGAACATCTTCCCATTTCTGTGCCTTCTGAGAGAAAAGGCACTTACAGTGGTCAACAGCTGGACAGTTACAGGGGCCATCATTAGGTCCATAGCTCAGGGAGATCTATGCAGTGGCAAAATTCATGGTGTGCCCCACATAAGGACTGTATCTGACAAAGGATGGATCTTATAAAGTCCTCTTAATCCATTTCATTCATCTCTTTCTCACTGGTGCTGCTACTTTTGCTTAAGAAAATAATCATTTCCTCATTCTTTGTGTACCCAGCACCGTATTAGCAGTTGAGTGGGGTGGAATATGGAGCAGAGGTAGAACCCAAAAGAAAAGACATAGTTTACCTCTTAAACCACAAACTAACTGTGAAGAAAACCTAAGGTTTTCTTAGATACAGTTTTCTAGATACAGCGCAGTTTCCTCATATGAAAACTGCTTGTTTAATTGAGTAGTAAAACAGAAAATATTTACACGAGTCAAGGAACAATGTAGGCTGCTGACAGAGTAGTTGGGCTTTGAAGTAATTATAGGATTTGGATTAGAGGGTGGAAGAGTGGGAACAGCACAAAAAACAAGTGTCAACCCTTGTTAAGGGTGGCTAAGGAGATGGTGAAACTAAACTATAGAACAAAATGCTCCTAGATGAGATTCAACATTTTCTTACTGTTGCTATCATGAAATCAGCTATGCCGCTCTTAGCTCTTGTGGGAACTGAGTTTCAGACACAGTAGTCCATGAGAACTTAATTCTCTAAATAGGTTCCTGCCTTTTTAGAAGGACACTTTGAATCAGGAGTCAGCAGTTTTGGGTTTTTTTTCTGTGAAAACTTAAACAGTAACTAGTTTAGAATTTGTAGGCCATTCAGTTTCTGTTACAACTACTCAATTGTGCTGTTTTAGCTTGAAGGCAACCAAAGCTGATACATAAATGTGTCCAGAACCGTTTTAGTTCACGATATGGCTGTGTTCCAATAAAACTTTATTTGAATTGCATACCATTTTCACATGTCATGAAATATCACTTTTCATTTTTTCCCAACACTTAATGTGAGAACCATTATTGGCTCACAAGCCAGGCAGAGGGCTAGACTCGGAAGGGCTATAGTTTGGGGACTTCTGCTTTAAATAGGGCACATTCTGCATGGCTCTCCATAACCTCATGATTTTCAGGGCCTGTGTCTTTTAGTTCATTGCTATCTCTGTCTAAAATCTATGAAATCACTTAAAATTATTTTTACAATTTAGACCCTCTTCTTTCAGCTCCCACTGAACTGCAAACTCTTATTTTGAAACCAGTGACATCGCCAAGCCTAGAAATGACACAAAGTCAACCGGGTAAATAGATTGATTTATCTGTCTGGGTATACTGTGTGCTTCAAGAGGCATACTGTAATCCTCTCTATTTCCAAAGATTAAAAAAGTGAAAAGGGAATACACATTTAATAACGATAAATATTGCATGGTGCTCTTTTTGTGATTACATATTGTTAAGTTAGTTATACATTAATATTGCTACTTGAATGTATAAAAAAACCTTTTATTGCATTTGCTCTGTATCATTCTAGAAAACAGTCACATCTCTGATTAAGTGGTTGACAAAACCACTTAGAAGAAATAATTTTATTCTTTATTCTTATGTTTTTCAACAGTTACGTGTTTGTGGCTCTCTTTAACAGTAAATTCAATTTTTGCTAAAAGAAGCACTAGTTCAGTTGTGACCATCAAGGAAAGAGAAATTTCTCACTTCAGTAAAAATAGTAAAACTTCTTCTTAAACAATGTGAGCCCTTCAAAACATACTGCCCTTCAAACTTGTAAACAGGCTGGGCATGGTAGCTCATGCCTATAATCCCAACACTTTGGGAGGTCAAGGTGGGTGGATCACAAGGTCAAGAGTTCTAGACTAGCCTGGCCAACATGGTGAAACCTCGTCTCTACTAAAAATACAAAAATTAGCCGACCATAGTAGGGCCTGCCTGTAGTCCCAGCTACTTGAGAGGCTGAGGCAGGAGAATTGCTTGAACCTGGGAGGCAGAGGTTGCAGTGAGCCGAGACCATGCCACTACACTCCAGCATGTAGTGCTGGGCGACTCTGTCTCAAATAAATAAATTAAACATTGGATCCTATTTCTTTTCTAGCATAGGATTGTAATTTATTTCCATCTGAGTGTCTTTTAATTAGATAAATGACATTTTGGTACTCACGTTGAATGTACAAAGTAGGTTGTTAATGGTAACCTACAGTAGTTATAATGTTGTGAATTCAGTTCAGTTATGAGAGCTTCTCTTAGTGTTAATAATGTTATTATCCTAACAGTTAACTAACTGAGCACTTACTGTATGCAAAGCATTTTTGTAAATACTTATAACCTATCCATGATCAACTGTACCTTTTTCTGTTTTTTACTAGTTTCTGGTGTTCTGGAATCAGTTACATTTAGCACTGAGTCACCAAAAGAGACTATAGGTAAAAAGATTCCCCAATGGGAAGTCAAACATACGTGCTTTTTCATCTCATTGCAAAAGTCATCTCTGGATGTCCTCATGCTTTGTGACATTTCATAGCCACCTGCTCCTTGCAGCTTGTCTACGCTCATCCAGTGGGTCTTGAATGTTGTTGTTGACAGCACATTGTGTTTATATCTGCTGTATTGCTATGCAAGTTTCATAATTTCCTTATTCTCACTTGAAATGAAAACGTTAACTTTTGAATTCTGATTGCTCTTTCAATATAAATGTGGACATATATGCACAACCTATTTTTCATTTTCATATCACTTTGAGGATTTATCCATGCTTTTGCTCTCCACGTACTCATTCTATGTGTGTTTCTTACTGGAATTCTTACATGAAAAAAAAAATGGAAGGGGAATTATCTGTTTTGTTCCAGGTAGAATTGCTGTTGACTTCACCATATATTATGTATGGGGTATGTGTGTTTCCCATATAGCACACTGCCTTCATTTCTGCCCTCCTAAACTGGAGTTATCTTCAAAATCTACCTAAATATTAATTATTCTCAAGAATGAATCTGCTTAGGATAGCTCAGTTCTATCTTCAAATTAAATGGAGGGTTCTATTACAGTATGCTTTGGGCTGCCCATCACTAACCAGCAATTCCCATTTCTTCCCTAGCACCAGCCAAAACAGACTATGTATATCCCACTGCCAAAGCACCACTCTGGCCAGAGGAGTCAAAGACTGAAGGTAGCAAAGGTTTTTACCCTTTGATGCATTTATTCCACACATTCTAAATTAACGTCAGTTACATCCATGGAATACGAAAGTTCAAGCTGTGGTTCTTCATTTCTACAATTAAACAGATTTTGAAGAGCTATAGCTTCCAACATTCTTGAATTCCTAAAGTGATGATTGACTGTCTCTGAATACAGAAGTAAATTCCTGTCTGTCTGTTCAAGTCTAAAGGTTAAGGCATAGTAACATTTGAAACCCAGTTAATGACAGTTAAGACATATTAATTGGAGGGTTCGTGTTACAGAATAGGATTTTTCTCCTAATTCTTTTTTCCTGTCTATTGTCCTATCTGTAAAATTACGAGGCAAGTTCTTAACAAAATTTGCTATTCAAAAAAAATACTTTACAGCTTAATATCTTACAGTTTCTAAAATTGTTCTCTTTGTTTTGGTACAGTTGCGGAATCTATTACATATGTGTCTGAACCACCTGAGACCACACTAGGTAATATTCTGGTAGTCCAGCCCCATGTGCTTTCTGTCCTCATTGCCGCCACCACCTGAGAACCTCTGGGGGTCTCATTGTGAATTCATGTTACACCATCACTCTTTGCCATAGCAGTTACTTTTCTTTCAAGGCGCTCCTATCCATAACCACTGTCCAAAAATGTCTTTCTTTCAATTCAATTGTGTAACAAGACTTTGCTTTTTCTCCACATTGGTCAGCAGCACTGTTGAATCTAAAATACTTTTTTTCCTAACTCGGAACATTCTGCCAGCTTGGACTTGTGCTGAATGTTTCAGATCATGCTTCTTTGGTGTCATGATCCGTGTATACTTTGACCTAGCAACATACTTTCAATTAACACTCATCCCATCACGTTTATTTCTACGTGTGGCTTTTTCTCCATTCTTTAAGTGCAATTCAGTGCTGCTTAACTGACTCATGCTATAATACTTTAAAAATTCCTTTATCCCGTCATGATTCCTGTTGAATATATCTTTCTAGCCTTGTTGAGGTGAAGTCCTGTGAAATGAGGGTTTTAGAAGTTCTTTATAAGCTGCATCTGCAAGCTTTTCTTTAACCAAATGCATTATGAAGGAGTAGGAATGCTGTTTTGCTGCAGACTTGCAATTTTCTTTATTTTGAAAAGTCTATATTTTACCATCTGTTCTGTCAACTGTACTCAAAGTCTGTCAAGTGCTATAGTAACCAGTGTACTTTCCTTCAATTACCATAGAAACGTCTCCTCTGCCTTCTCAATCTGTAATCCTACCCAGCCCAGATGAGCCTCAGACTGAACCCAGTAAATACACTATTTGGTATTGTATGTCATATGGGAGGCGAGTGTTTGCAGAATGTCAGTGTGGTCACCTCAAGCCATCAGAGGCCCTGACTTTATCACTCTGCCCACAGTTTTTGATGCGTAATCCTACCTGTCTGATGTCCCACTATCATTGATAATTACTCAAATGGCAGGGTTGTTCTTTAGCATATGGTTGAAAACACCTCTCAGCTACTCTGCAAGTGCGTAGGAATAGGAATGCTTCTGGGGAAGAACATTTATATTCTGATTTTAATTCTGATTCATCTCCGTTTTACAAGTTCTGTGATCATGTAAAAAGTAATTTAAGCTTTCTACTTTGCTTTTGACATTAAAAGAAACCTCCAGAAACAGGTTTGACTGTGCAGTCCACATGGAAGGGGATGTACTGGCCAGTCACCTTGTAGTTACTGAGAACAACTCCTTTCTCCACTGCTTCGGCCATTTCACTGCATACAAATAAGAAAACCTGAAATCAAACCAATTAATTTGGCTTCTCATAAAGGTTTACATATTCGAGTTTGAAATGAATGAAAAATCATCAACATGAATATCTAAATGTGCCTCTTAATTATAAAAAAAATTATCTTAATAGCTATAGGTTTCAATGGAATAGAAAGTTATAAATAAGCCCAAACTCCTTTTTTGACTGTCATTAAATATTTTTATATGGCTCTGCTTCCAGGGGAGATGGGGATATTAAGTTTACTCATTGTCTGCTAAATATCCTACTAAATGTTTCCTGTAACTGTACAGTTTTTTAACCAAAAAAAAAAAAAAACTACATTGACTAAAATAATGGAATCTATCCGTTATACCAAACTTTTCCAAATTTTGTTCTTAATAACTATAGTTAATATTACTGGAATGTCTCCTTGCAATTAGTGCTATTAGTGATTCTTATCTCATTCTGTATCATTTTTCCTGGAATTGCTTCATGACATGCCTAACCTTCAGATGGTCTTTCTTATTTTCTGGGGAAAGTAAGTAGGACATCAGTTAGAACCTTAGCAAGTAGGGTAGTTGAGAATCAGAAAATCACAAACTATGAGAAACTCTAGAATCACAGAATTTTAAGATCGGGAGGCTTCTTAAAAATTGTGTCACTTTTGATGAAGAACCTGAGACTGTATACCCAGTGATTAGCAAAGGGAGCTCTAAATCCCTAAGTTCCAGGCTTCTAAACCAGGTCATCTCCAACATATATCAGTATTCATCTCTCTACAGGAAAGAAGATTCCACTGAAATCATTGTATACCTTGCATTTTTTCATTTAGTATCAGGAAGAAGATTCTGCAGACTCCTTCAGAAACTTCTGGTGTCAAATAACCCTTATTTTCAGCGAGTTTTTCTTAAGGCGTCTGACGTTGACCATGTTTCTCCTTATCTTTCTTTATCACACTTTAGTTCAACCAAATGAGGTATTTCCACAAGCTGCCACCTTGTATCTGATAGTTCTTTTCCTTCAGCAGGATAGATTTTTCACTTTTTTGGTAAAGAAAAAATTGATTTTTACACTGAATGCCCTAGAATTTCTTTAGGATTTGCCCAGCAAAGGAATAACTCTCCATAGAAAATATTCTTGGTGTTCAATTTCTCTTCCCCTATATAGCCAATTAAAACTGCATTTTCTTTAGTAAGATTCATGTTGCCCTTGGCAGTTGCTATTAAAATATATTATATTTTTGGAATATAATATGTTAACTTTGTTTTTTATTTAGAAAACATGTATTTGCATTTAAAATAGTACAATTAAGTATTCTGATAAAATTATGTGAACTTACAAGGATGAATTCTTGTTATTATGAAATTTATCTTCAAACTATTTAAAAGGTATTCGATGTCAATATTTCTGAAATCTCAAGTTTCATTGTGCCAGCTGAATATCTTAGATATCACTTGATGTGACTTTTGTTTTATAAAAAAGTCATCTTCCTATACTTTGCAGATCTTTAGGCGCATTCATTCTTGGGTATTGAGGTCGTCAGTCACTCAGTAAACATCTTTGAGCTTAGGTACTGTCATTCTTGAAGGGCTCACGATTTCCAAACCTGTATCCTTTCTTTTAGCTCCCAAGCAGACACCGCGTGCTTCTCCTAAGCCAAAAACATCCCCACGCCCAAGAATCCCACAAACACAACCAGGTAAATATATATTTTACATTTTAGCTTGAAAAGTTTGAGGTTAGTGGGATTATTCTAGCAAATTGTTTATTAATAGCTATGATAGCATATTGAGTCTTTAACACTTGTCAAACACGTCTTTCTCTATAACCTAATAAATATTTAAATTTATTTTTGGACTTGGTAAAAAAGTGCATCATTGGAAGAGCTTATTCCACAGAGCTTCCCTTAATGTTGTATTATTGAAGATAAGATGGATGTGAATGGCATTTCTTAGAAAAAGTAGCCTGCCTACTTCCTTTTCCTTTCCCAGCCTGAGACTACACTCCTGTTCCTTTCACTATTCCTGAATGTGCTTCCTTCTGCTAATCATCTAATTTAAAATTTTCATCAATATATGGCCTGTCTACAATAAATATCCAAAGTACACCCACCCGGGATACCAGGAAAGGAACCTTTGCTACCACTGATCTGGTCTAGGAAAGGAAAATGTGTAGCACCATCCCATTGTGATTGACCCAGGTAGTGATTCTGGATTCCCACCACAAATGTTGTACTCCTACCTCAGAATCTCTGCTGTTAAGTACTGTCATTCTTGTTTTTCTACAAGGGGGAAAAAAAAGCCCTGTAGTTTTAGGTGTGGTCTCCAATATCAATTGAGAGAAATGTTATCCATTATTAAATCTTCTATTTTGAAGGAAAATTTCACAAAAGTCATCATCTTACTCTGATGCTTTGTAATTTGAAATTTTGCAGTTTCTCGGATTTCACTGTTCTAAAATTATCTGGAAGTCTAACTGACCTATTTCTAGAGCTTAAGGTTTAGTTTTCTGTCTGACTCCTATGAGTAATGCTTTGTTTTATCAGTGTTCAGGCTACACCTTAGCACACCTTATGTGTTAAGCATAAGATTATTTTATGTTCCATATTCAGCTAATGGTTTTAAATTTGCCTTATTTAGCATAATTGTAAATATATTATAATTATTTACTAAAACTTAGCTATAAAAATAATTTATTCTGATAATAAATATATGAAGGCAACATTCCCCCAAATAACATGAAATTTTAAATGACAATGATACATTTGAAACATTAACATACTAAAAGTCTCAGAAAAATAACTAATGATTAGTGAATAATAATGAATGGGGTAAAAAGATATCAAAGTTTTAAAAATATACCAAGTTATTAAATAGACCAAGTATATTAAATTTGTTATTATAATAGGAAACTAAAATCTGACTTTAAAAATCAACAGACAAAACTATATGAGAAGAAGCTCTTAGCTTGGATTTGAATGTAAAGCTGAGACCAAAGGAGAAAACCAATGGAAAGAAGTATTGGTATATTTCTAAAACATACCAAAAAGTAAAGAGCATCAACATAAAGAAGAATTTACATCAATGAATGGATAAAACAGCCAGTTAACATCAAATGGCAGTAACCCTAAATTTAAATCGACTAAATCCCCCAATTAAAAGATACAACCAAAACCTAACGGTATATCCAAAGATACACAAAGACTCAAAACAAAGGGTTGGAGAAAAATTTACCAACCAAATGGAGAGCAAAAATAAACAAACAAAAAGCAGAAGTTGCAATTCTCACATTTGATAAAATAGATTTCAAAGCAACAAAGATACAGTGGTAAAAGGATCAATGCAACAATAAGAGATCTTAATACCCAGATACATAAGACCCATAACGAGATTTAGACTCAACGAGACAGAAAATTAATAAGGATATCCAGGACTTCAACTCAGATCTGGAACAAGTAAACTCAATAAATATTTACAGAGTTCTCCATTTTAAATACACAAAATATTGATCGGCCATTATTAATACCCATTTTTAGAATGAAGCAATATTCCTGTTCTCTCTCCCTCTTTTTCTTCCTCTTTCTTCCTCTCCTTCTCTCCTTTTTTTACTTTTCAACATCCTAGTTCCTCACCTCTACTCAATACATTCCTCTGAACACCTGATTCCTTGTGATTCTCCCATCCCACTGAAACCTCCAATCCATAAAAAAAAAAGTAATCAGTGAATCCACATTCCATAATCTTTTATTTCAGTGTTTTTCGTTTCCTGTGTATTGCATTTCCTCATAAAACCTGCAAGCACCCTTCATCTAGCTCTGTATCTCACTCACCTCTCTGATCATCACTTCAAAAAAAGAAAAAAGAAAAAAAAAAGATGTAATAAAATTAATTCTAAAACTAAGTTTTAAAACACACTGCTCAGAAAATCAGAGGTTCACCATTGCTAACAGTGTGATTCCTATCCAATTAAAATTGCTCTGAAAATTTAAAAAATAATAATAAATAAACAAATAAATAAATAAAAAGTTGAGGAAGCAGAGGCAGATGTATAGTTTTTTTGATTAAAGGAATGAGAGCAAGAGAGAGGGATTGTTTGAAGGTAAAGCCATGTCAAGGGAATAATGTTTTCGGGGAAATATGGGAGCATTTGAGCTGTTTTATAGGTAGAGGGGAAGTAACTCAGAGAGAAATGGAAACATGGACAAATAGAGAAAAATAGAAATAATGGAAAGTAAAAGGTGTCAAATGAGATGGAAGGGAGGATGGCCCAAGAAACTGGGAAAGCCAGCAGGTGGCTTTTGATGGGGCTTCCTCTCAGACCGGCCCTCATGGTACAAGGTTAGAATAAAGGAATAGAGAGTCTTGAGGTGAAAAGGTATGTAGCAAAGTAACATATGTTACTTTGCTAAGAGAATCGGTCTCTTTGTAGTCTATTGCTAGGGTAAACGTTATTGCAAACTTCATACTCTAACTTTATCAAAAGGAAACACGTTATTTTCTGACTCTATCTAAAGATTCATGCACATGCGTTTATACTAGTCTGTGATAGATATTGAACATTCCTACTTGTCTTGTGTTAGTTGGACTTTTCTTTGGAGTGACACGCTTTGTTCAAAAAGATTCGTTAGCATAAATGATATAAGTTGGTTAATATAATTAAATCTAAAAGTATAATAATAAATATTCTTATAAAGAGATCAAAACTGCCTTCTCAGGAAGTTGTCATCATCATTTTCATTGATGAATTTCTCCCAACATGAAAGATAAAGGTTGTGGGGATCCTGCTCTAGTTCAGTCTACTATACGGAGGAATGCCACATAGGGAAAAAAGAAAAAAGAAACAACTTGAATTTCTTGGAGCTGTAGTTGGCCAAGTAGGAGAATGATTCATATTACTTTCCTGTAAATATTTCTATTTCTTTCCTTTCCACTGATTTCACCTGCTTTAGGAAGTCTGCTAAGGCAGTTTATTGAATCATCACTTCATGGTTGAAAAGAAAAGTGCCAGTTTTAGCAGCTGGAATCCACATTACCCCAGCCTAAATTCCTCAGTAAACTAGAGCAGCAGTGAGTAATGCATTTACAGGATGGCAGATTTATGAGCACCACATCTCTTCTCGGCTTCTCCTTTTCTTAATCCCGGGTCCTTTTTGCTTGGTCTAGTACTGTAACTAACTAGGGTATTTATAACTAAAGGCTGCTTTGAATGTTCATGGCCTTCACAGAGCTAAATCAAAGTGCCTTCTCCTTCGTCCTCAAGATAAACATTTTATTTCATTTATGGCTGGAAATTTCTCATATTTTACTATTTGAATCTCCCAAGAAACTACATGCAAAGGCAAAGTATTCACTATTGTGGTGGGTTTTCTCTACCTTATCAACCACTAATCTTTTTAAAGTTTCCTTTTTTAAGAAAATAAGCCATATTTTCAACTATGCTTGCATGTTACCTTTTAGCTCATAGAGGTTCTGGGTCAAGTTTCTGTTCAGTGTACCAGTTTTCACAACTGATATAGTTTTAAAGACTATATCTCAACCTGAGACTTGGAGGGGATATCTAAACTGTATTGGGGCAACATAAGCAAATATAAAGCAAATATGCATCTAAAGATCGCTTGGTCAGAGTAGTCAGTGAATATTTAGTTGAAGGGAGGCACTGGGACTACCATGGAGAATCAAAGGAATGAGAACGAGAAACCTCTACCCATGTGGTTAAGACAGTCCTCTCAGATAGGGAGATTCACAGGCTTATATAGACCAGTTTCTATGCCACCAGTGGGGCAGGCAGTGGCAATCACTCTAAGACCAAATTTCACTGATACATACCGGGCTAGTCTAAGAGCAGTTGTGGCATGCAAGTTAGATAAGATTCCCCAAAACAAGAAGAATAGATTGTTTATTTTATATGACCTATTTCTACACTAATGGTAAAGTGGTGCTTGGCCACCTCATGATAAAAAAGTTTCCTTCATCTTTCTTCTGAGGCAAGATTCTAGCCTGAATCACAATTTTTTCCCCAGTATCATATAAGATACAAGGAAATTACACTGCTTGACAAAAAGATACTGGTGTGTATGAAAGGTGTAGTGTGGTAGGAAAACCTTTCATTGAGAGAGTAGAGCCGGGTAGGGCCTCCTTGTGGGGAGACTGAGTTGAAGTACTTTACACTATTTGTGGAATGAGATTTTGTTATAGAAATCTGGTACTAACAATAGACAAATCACCCTACTATTTTCCGCACTGAGAAATGTGATACCAGGTTTCCAATCTACTGTTTTATTTTGCTAAAATAGCATACAAGCATTAAAGAAGATCCTGGATTTCAGGGACTGCGTATGAGTTGGCCTACTGATCAGCTGACATTTTTGTCTTTTGCTTTCATATGCTTATGTGAAGCATGCTTGACACCTAATATACCGGAAGCTGTGTCACTAAAGTAGACAAAAATGGCAACAGCTGTCATTTACTATGTAACAAGCACTGTCATTAACTTTACATGTGATATCTTCTAATGACTGGCTGATTCCTTTTGCTTCATTTTCTGCCCCGGAGTAACTGTAAGTGACATTCAGGATGAGATTTTGTTATCTTCTTACATATTCAAGATTTTTCCTTTCTTATTGTTTCCCTTCATCTGTAGCCATTTTTGTGCCTTTTCTAAGATGTATATTTTCTGTTGCTGTTAGTGGACTTTAAGCATGAATATCACACAGCAGCTAACCACTTCATGCGAAAACTGACTGCTGTTTTAAAAACCACTTGAGGACGCTCTACTCCGTCATTGTATTATGTTAGCTATCTCTTCTTCCTCGAGGAAGTCTTCAGAATGAACTGTGACTGCCTTCGTTTCTGTTTTACTGCCACCAAAATCTTCCCTGTATGGTAACATTCTTCCATTTTGAAGATAACAGGCATCTTCTCAACTCTGGTGGTTAGCCATTGTAAAAATATTGTTGCTTCATCCATTGAGCTTTCTGGGATTTCGATATCTGTAGGTTGAGCTCACTCCAGCTGGGACATTTAGAGTACACTGTTTTATACTCTTTTTCTTTCAGCTCCAAAAGATGTCCTCCTGCCTCAGAAACCAGACCCTGAGGTCTCTCAGAGCGAACCTGGTAAATTAATTATTTCATCCTTCTGGTTAAGAAGTCTATTTTTCAAAAAAAATATTTCTTGAAGTAAACATATTTTTAATTGTTGTGATATGGAAGAAATTCAGAGAAAAAAAATGAGTCTAAAATGCATATATCCTTTGGTTAAGTTGAATCATCTATGAAGGAATAGTACATAGGTTCATTGAGTAGATCATGCTAAAATTGTAAATATCATTGTTAACTAAGGCAGCTGTTATATCCTTTCAAAATGTAACAGTAGCTACATCACAACTATGGGTGTACTTTTAAGTAAAAAATGTGGGTGCCTACTCAGAATTGTCCCCAAAGTGACAGTGAATGAGAGCTTTAAAGTTTTAGTTAAACTAAGTTCTCTGATTGGCATCTAATGTGCAGAATTTTCTCTTATTTATCCTGATTCTTAGAGAACATTTAAATTATTAGCCAATGCCTCTAAAAAACACAAACTCTTTTGACTTTACCAGATAGTAATTCTCATAAATATGCTCCTTTGGTTTGCTTTCGGCATAGCTCTGCAACCTGTTACCTTTAGATTTGAGCCACCAAAGACAGCAATGGTTTTCCCATATTGACCAACTCTGTTTTCTTTGCTACCATCAAGATTGTGGATCTTTCTCAAATGATCCTATTAAGACGTGACTTCTTTTCAATTCATTTCATCATTTCATCCTCATTATTATTACTCTTTCCAAAATAGAAAAGCAATTGTTTCACTGTTGTAATGGGTTTGCTTTGAAGACCACCTTAAGACAACTCATTACTGAGTTGTATCCATCTTCATTTATTTCATCTATCTCCGTGTTCAAAATGAGTCCACTGTGTTTACTAATGGTGCCCGTTTAACAATTTCCATTGGTATAGTGGTTCTCAGTTGTAATGTAACATACTAGCATGTGGTAAGTTTGAATGATACTGCAAGTAACTATCAATATTGGTCAAAATACTGAAAATCGCCAGTGATTTGTTAAACTGAGCTCAAGCAGACTCAAGGAGATTATCCCAACAATGATGACATTCTCACTCATTTCGTAATCCTGTATGCTCTCTTGAATGGGGGAGAGAGGGTCAGGGTTACAGTCAGTAGTCCAGGACTGTGTCTAACCCACACCCCATCTCAACCAGCCATTCTCATAGATTGGTTCAAGAATGTACGTGTCTTGGTGAAAAAAACAGTTGAGAACCATTATTCTAATATTCCACAGTCATTTTACTGAAAGTTATGTGCACACTTAACTTTCTTCTTTCCATTTTCTATTTCAAGTGAAGGAATTTCGTGTAATACCAATCTGGTCTGGTGCTGGCTTTGAATCTAAAAATTTACAACCTTGGTCCTTTTCCTTTTGCAGCTCCTCTAGAGACACGAGGCATCCCTTTTATACCCATGATTTCCCCCAGTCCTAGTCAAGAGGAACTACAGACCACTCTGGGTAAATTTTATTTTAATATTTGTTCAAGGAGGGCCTGCCTTTTAGGAACTTCCCTTAAAGTAGCCATAATACATTATGTTCATAGATTGTTTCTAAATAATAGGTTATTTTAAAAATCCATTTGACTCAATCCCTTTCCATTAACTGTGTATTTGTCCTTCTAATATTTATGCTGACTTTCAGTATAAAATGAGAATGTTTTAACATATCTTAAGCTGTGTTAAATTGGCTCTAGTGATTAAGTATGATTTAGAATACTTAAAAATTGTAAGTATTCTTAAATACTTAAAAATTTTAAATATTCTAAAAAGAAAATTGTTCCTAAATCGATGTTATTCTTTTTTGTTGCTTTTTCTGTATTTTAAACTGTATTTGGGAGGAAAAATTAGTTATCTAGTACTTACTAAGCCTTTACTGGGTGCTAAGTGCAGTAATAAGTGAGGCAGTTCTAAAAAGAAACTTTAAAAGAGGAATCCTTACCCTAGAGAGTTCACCCTCTAATATGAAGACAGGACTTAGTTACAATACTGCAGCCTCTGTGCCACCCAATACACAAGCCTTTTTAAACTTTAAACCATGTAACTCTGTGAAATTAGTTCTATTACTTGCCCCATTTTACAGACTAGAAAATCGAGGCATAAACGTTGTAAAAATTTGGCCAAGGTGAAACAGCTGATGTCAGAGCCAGGATTAGAATCTACACACTCAGCCACCAGAGTGCCTAGGATTAACGTCAATGTTATACTATATTACAATGAGTATGATAGAGAAATGAGCAGCATGTTGAACAAGCAAACTACCTGGAGACATAAGGAAAGGCTTCTCAGATTGGGGCCATTTACAGTGGGTCTTCAAGTTGGAATGAGAGTTAACCAATCAAAGATCCAAATGGTTCTTTCAAGTTACGGACAGATGGGAAAGAGGCGCGGGGCAAGGAATGGCAGTTGGACTAAACTGATGAGCAGGTAGTTGCCTGGAGAAACAAGGTAAGTTGGAAAGGTCCATTGGGATGAGCTGGACATACTTTCAAGGAGTTCAACACAAATGCACTCACTCTGTGGAAAACTCCACTTTGCCTGTCTTTTGGCTGAAAATTAACCAAAAAACCAGAGTTCCTGGCGTGGCTCCTCTGTCCTGTCCACGCCACATCCCACGTGTCTTTGTTTAAATCAGTGGCTCTATTTGCCTCTCTTCATTTCTTTTCTAATCATCCATCCTTCATGGGTATCTACTGAAATAAAGTTACCGATCACATTTAAAAATCCTTTCAGAAGAAGAAAATATTAAAATTGAGCAAATATATCCTAATCAAATATTCATCTGGTCTAGCTTATGTCTGCAAAATTAATGTCACCCATGATGGAAAAGTTAAAAGTACTTTTCAGAAGCCACTACTGGATATGCTGATTATTTAACTTCTACTCCCTATTTTTTTTAATGTGTCTTGGTTTACTCACGTCAGAACCACTACCTGTCAGTTATCACAAGTATATTTCTTGAGCAGAATCAAGAGAATAAAAAAGGACAGAAAACAAAAAGATAGCAGCATGTCATTTATACCAAGTATTTCCTTGGATCTAGTATGGGCAAAGTGAACAGTGTAGTTTGCTGTGTCTGTATGATGTATGATTTTAAGGTAACATGGGAATGGAAGTATTGCTGTATGTATTTTTTTATTTTGTCACGAGGATTATATTTGTATGTCAAACATACACTCTGAATTTCACATGAGAAAAATAGAATATTTCTATGTGATATAAATATACACCTTTTCATATGATATATTTTCTCTACGACTCATCAAAATAACGTGGGATTTATGGGCAGGGAAGAAACATGAACGAGATAAACACATCAAGGCAACTAGGAGACTTTCATACATTAGTCTCCTAGACTGTTAAAATCCTTATGACAGTCATTAAAATAATAGTGTAAGCAGATATCACAAATGAGAGTTATTAAAATGTACCATTAACTTTGAATTATTGTGATTACTGAGTGTATTTCTAAATGCATCTTATTCTTTTATTATTGCATGGGGCAGAAAAGAGTATGGATTTTTTGGTCATTTTCATAATGATAATTATTTAAAACAAGCCATCTTACTGTGTTTTCTCCAGAAGAAACAGACCAATCCACCCAAGAACCCTTCACAACTAAGATTCCACGAACAACCGAACTGGCAAAGACAACTCAGGGTAATCTTCTCCCCATCTCTGGAGAATAACTTTTCCTTACTTGCTTTTAATCAGGAAAGAAATTTTCTTTTCAGAGTGTCATTTCTCATCACAGTGGATTACTTGATTTTTTTTTTTGTCATTTTATAGGTGAAAGAAATCAGCCAAATCTGAATACTTATAAGAATATAAAAGCTGAATATAGGGAAGATAAGTTCTTTCATCGGAGCTTACTTTTTTAAATGTGTTGTTGATCACTTGATGCTTATATATAACTAAGAATGAAGGATCCCATTTTTTCCCTACAGTTGACCTTCATTTGCCTCTTTTTCTATATCTGATACATAATAACTGTTACCTTCCTCTTCCTCCTCCCTATTCCTCCTGGACCTCCTCCTCCTCCTCTCTCTTTTTTTCACTTTCTCGCATCTCCGCCATTTGATGAAACACATTAATATTGTGGGTAAGAAAAAAAGCTATTAATACCCCCCACCCAGAGGAGGGAAAGCACAGGGGGCTTCCCACTGACTGCTGCCCAGGCCCAAACCTTCTAGAATACCACCCAGCAAAAGGGTTGTCTCAAAAGTAAGGGCAGAGTTACACTGGGATAGCTAATACAAACTGCAGACTGTGTTTAAAGAGAGCTTAATAATATTGTGGTGCCACAAATAAAATGGATTTATTACAATTTCAAAAGAAAAAAAGAAAAAAACTATTAACAAGAAAAGTCACTTTGCAAAATTAAGATAATATCTAACATCCAGGGAAGTGATTTCCTATTTTTTATTTCTTCTCTGTGATTTTCTACTTTGGGGAAAGTGAACTCACCTACACAAAGCCCTATCTCATCTTGATGCACTCAGAATGCTTTCCTGTTTATACTTTTCTATCCTGTTATCCTACTTAAGTTATAACACTTGTGGACTTCTAATACTTTGTTGTTGCTGTTGTTTTAATGACCCCTTTGCCTGTTCTGCTTCTATCAGATGGTAGAAAGCCAAAAGACAGACAGAAAAACGAAAGAAACATTTAGGGAGTTAGAAGACAAATAAGTGTATGTTGCCCATTATGACTTCTAATTTGAGGGAGAAAGCTGGTAGGAGAAGTTTGATAATGAGAGGAAATGATAATAAAAGAAACCTAATTGTAAAGTACATGTTGTGTCACTGGGGCAATATTTATTCCAAGTAAACCTGGTGAAGAAAAACTCTCTATGGTAAAGGGCAGTTCTTTTAAATTTTCTAAATCTTTCTTTCTTGTTTGTTTGGTTTGACTTTCATGTTTTAAACTTTTATTCATTAAATTTTTATTTGCTATTTATTTATGATTATGCATAGAAGTCTGAAGCATAATATAATGACAGCCCTATCACGTCTCTATGACCAGCCGCAACAATGAGCAGATGTTCAGTTGTGATACATCCGTATTCTACCCTGATTTCTGTATATTTATTATTTTATGTTTTTGCAAATCTCTTTAATTTCTGGTTTAAGAGAAGATAGCTGGATTATCATAATCAAACTGTTTTTACCACAAAATACGTAAATATTTACAACAAGCAGGATAAATACTCTCATTCCACACAGGTTGTGTTGCCAAATGAGAAAAATTTCAGCTTTTTAGAGATTTAAGGATTTCAAAATGAAAATAAAAGACTATAGGACTGTTCTTTCCTTTTTTTTTTGCCTTTTCTTAAAGAGAATATTAATATTATGTCACCATTACTAGTATATATGGAATTTTAATCAAATTCCTTCAAAATATTGTATTAAATATAAATTTCACTGGTTATTGGGAGTCTATCCATGATCTCATATCATTATATAAATTGTCTTAACATGTTTGTGTATGTTGACTTTTTTCTTACATCCTTAGCTCTTTTTCTATGTTTAAAATTGAAACCCTTGCCAGGCATGGTGGCTCATGCCTGTAGTCCCAGCACTTTGGGAGGCAGAGGCGGGCGGATCATGAGGTCAAGAGATCGAGACCATCCTGGCCAACATGGTGAAACCCTACCTCTACTAAAAAAATTAGCTGGGCATGGTGGTGCGTGCCTGTAGTCCCAGCTACTTGGGGGGCTGAGGCAAGAGAACAGCTTGAACCCAGGAGGCAGAGGTTGCAGTGAGCCGAGCTGATGCCACTGCACTCCAGCCTGGCCTGGCAACAGAGTGAGACTGTCTCAAAAATAAAATAATAAATAATAAAATAAAATTGAAACCCTACAGAGTTTTCTCAAGGCCATGTACTGTTTGGTGATGAACTATATGAGTAACTTATAACCTAAACTCAAATTATATTTCAACTCAAAAAAAATATTCTAGATTTAAATAAAGAGTATGGAGAAAACAAACAAAAATTCAGATGCAGTGGCTTTGAAATAATGTAGTGCTGATTTTTCCTGTGGTCTACTCTCAATCTCTTTCCTGTCCAAAGTTTTAAAACTTACATATATTCTAGAATGAGGCAAGAACTATGATTCTTATTTTCTTTTTAAGCAGAAGCAACAACATTCAAAGGAATTTCCATGGAAAGCTGAAATAGAGTAAATTAACAGAGAATCCCACCATCTCAAACTTGAAAGAAAAAAATTGCAAATAATCATCAGGCACGTTAGGTTCTGTGAGAATTAGTTTTTATAGCATCAGTACCTGTGTTCACTCTGGTTATTACACTTGGGAAGGCCCAAACTAAACATACAGAGAATTTCAGTATGTGTCCACTGCTGTCGGCTTGAAGTATGGCAAAGTTTGCTCATCACAGTCTTTACATTGGAAGTTTATAAATGAGCTACATTATAACCTATTTCACAGGCATACTTTTTTAACTTAGTAGGCAAGGCATTGCTGATTTATGGCTGTATAAATATCCACTCAATATGTGAAAAAAATCATTAAAATGATATAATCGATTTACATAGTTTGCAAGAAAATTTTTTTCCAAAAAAGTTACCAAGAAAGCTGGTGGCAGGGGGAAGTATCTGATGGGGAAGTGGGGACACAGAGCAGCGTGGAATGGATGAATTCCAGAATAAATGCCTATGTTAAAACCTTAGGATGCGTTAATATTTCAGCAGGTTCTCACAAGTTTGCCTGCATACAATGGTCACACACTTACTCATTTAGCAAGTCGTAGGAGGCCTTTGGTCCTGGATGACGGTGCAGGTCCTGGATGACGGGGCCAGAGAGTAGCAAGAGTAGGTGCCAGGGTTTATCTGAGTTCTTGCTCCTTTCTTGCCCTCTTTTGACAGGCAGAGCACCATATGTCATTTTCTGTCATTTCCACAGAATTTTGGATGGCACTGAATGAATACTTACTCATTTCAGGTTCATGAGCAAAGACCATTTGATAGAGACCACATACTTCTATTCTTTCTGCTTTACCTACCTAAACACTGATTTCTCTTTTTACCTTTAAGATTGTTTGACTTCTTTACCAAAATAATATTTCACGATGACTTTTTACTGAGAGGTTAGATGAATGGATGGATGGACAGATGAACAGACAGATGAATGTCTTATGTGTGTATCATGTTAAGCAATCATCTGGTAACATGTATGCTCTTGAAGAATAAGGACAAAATGATGACTAATCCTTAACACACCTTACAAATGAACTACCTCTATGTGCATCTTCAATTTTCAGTCATGTATATTTTGTTTTGTTTTCCTTTAGCGTGACGTCTATAATACATAATGGGATTTTTCTGAAACTTCTTTCTACTTCCATGCAAATCATATGAGTTGTTGGTCCCTGGGATGCTAAATCTCCATTCAGGCGGCTTCATTGTGTTGCTTATTAAATATAAAGTGTTCCTCTCTTTCAGCACCACACAGATTTTATACTACTCCTGTGAGGCCCAGAATATCTGACAAGCCACTCATCAGACCTGGTAAGTTGTTTCTCTGATGACTTAAATAACCAGCAGGCAGGGGAAGATATGAAATGGATTGAAACAGCCAAATATGCCAAAGGGGACTACGTATCCTTACATTGCAATAAGAGACATACAGAGAGACTCTGATCCATGTGGATAAGTGGAAACGTACTGATGAATCCAGAAATGTGATAAGACTAGACTTAGGATATTAAGGATAATCAGATGCAGAGGTCACTATGAAACTTTACTGATATAAATGTATTGTTAAAACAGTGTTGGACAATTTTCCATGACAGTTTATAGAGATAGCATAGAGTTAGTTATGACATGATATTATTTAATACTTTCCGATATTCTTTGTCTTAATAAAAGAGGGTCTCTTTTCAGCATGGAAAAGCTATTGTTCTGGGTGAACATTTTTACTTGATTCCTTCAGAGAATAAAAATATCACAAGTTCTAAACAGCAAAAATAAAGTTACAATTATATATTGGAAAATACGTTAAATTTACTAAATTTTCCAAAGGTCCTAAAATCTCCTTCACTGGAGCTTGTTGAGAAAAATGTTAACTTGGAGGGGTTTCATTCATGGAAATCACTCTTATGCTGAGACACAAGTTGAACCAAAGGCTGGTATTTTATTTTCTTTTTCTTTGTGATTCTAAGGAGTCTTAAAGTTCCAAATGATGAAACCTGCTTACAAATGAATGTTCTTGGTGAATGCATCTTTAGAACAATAATTTTATATTCTTTGGTTTATGGAGAGTCCATGTATTTTTTTTATAATTTTCCAACTTCTAAAGGTAATTGGGCACAGAAATCTTTCATAACCATGTGTATCTCCCTGTGTCTTGTGTGTCATGGTAGGTGTTAAGACCTTAATGTGAGACTGGTAATATTAAACATTTCTAAAAAGTAAGCAGTAACAATCAGGGCTACTAATGATCAAGCACTGGCCATGTGTCCTGTGACATAGAGTTGAGGAAGCTGAGAAATAGAGGAACTAGAAAGTGGATCAAAGATGAGCAGTATGGCTCCAGAGCTTCTCACATAAACACAATACACTTAGTGTTCTTCCTTAAAGATTTTTCTAAGTGGATTATAAAATTAGTCACTTCATAAGGCTTTGGTAAGGCTATGACTTTCTCCTGAGCAGGAGAGAAAGTGAAATGGTTTCATTAAGTTCTGTGTTTGACAATGGACTTTGTGAAAGGACTAGTACAATGAAACCTCTGTACCTAGAGATTCCCATGAAAGGATGTGGAAAGACTCCAACTTATGAATGGAGACCTTGACAAATACACTTCAGATTTTGTTTTTCATTAGCCATATGCAGTCCTGATCTTTCTTCAGTTCCATTTTGGAACGTAGCTAATGCTTATAAATGAAGCGAGATATTTCCCACTTCGGATTATAAATTCCCTTGCCAGTTAACTTTTTCGAGTCAAGTATTGAAGCCCAGTGATCATCTCAGAGTACAAATTCAGGTCTCTGTTTTCAAATTCAAGTCTATTATTTTTATATAAGAAAGTGGTTTCTATACTCTGAATAATAGTTTTTGGTAAATCATCTTTTTTATTGCCTAGTTAAATGACTTTCGAGAAATTTTGTTTCTCTTGGCTGCAAACTTTCAATAAGAAAATGAACTATTTATATCCCACTTTATTTTAGTTCTGAATAGGACAACTGCAAGACCTGCTAGACCCAAACCCAGTGGGATGCCCAGTGGGAATGGAGTGGAAACAGGTAAGAATCACAAATGAATTTCCTTTTTATCCTGTCAAAACTATAAGCGTTACTCAATTTTCATGATTTTGTTGGAAGTCACGTTTTAATTTCCTTTTTACCAGTTTTTTAAGTTCTTAGTAAATCTATAACTGAAAATTATAGCTCATTCCAAATCAAAACTACAAATGTCTCTAAAAATAGTGAAGACTTTTTCACTTTTCTAAACCTAGTCTACTAGCGACTATATATAATCTTCTTAAAAGCATCCTGATTAATTATAAATTGAGTGAAAACACTAAAAATAGCCATTTCCCCTAATTTCAAAATAGTTTTTATATACAGACTGGTCCCTGAACTGTAATTAGTTGGTTTTTAAGTTTATAATTTAACAAGGACCATTAAACATTTTTTGAGTAACTGCATCTGTTAGCAATCTGGAATATGAAATTAAAACAAGAAAAATTTAATCAGAGCAATTCACATTTGGTTACGCTGGTTACAGTCATTAATGCTTTCAAATCATTCATAGCTCTTATCTAGTCAGATCTATGGGAGTAAGTATCATGCCAGAAAAACTAGGATACTGATCTAACAAATGTTCAAACACCCAATTTACTCCTTGTGTAAATGGTAGTTATTTAGATGCCTTAGCATAGAATTGTATCATTCCTTTTAAATATTTTTAGTAGTATAACTCTTATGTTCACATAGGTAAAAAAATCATATTTTTAATGCATATATATCTGATTAACCCACGACAGTTCTCTAATGAAAAAGAGATGTGAATAATATGTAAATAATAATATTTAGTCTAAAAATTATTTAACTTTGTTTAAGAATGTGCTTTTTGTACTTGATTATTACACTCTGAATTTCTAGGAATTCAGTTATCTTCAAACCAAATAATAAGGCCAACACTATAAATTTGTGACTCACGAAAAGCAAGAAAGCATTCCGATATCTATTTGAGCTCAGCTACTCCTTTTATTCTTTCCAACAGTGGGATTCGATTGTGCATAATTTTTCAGACTGACATAAAAAATCTGGTTGTAAACAGTGCCACCTTCTCTCAGATTCTTTTGGGAGGAAGGCAGGTAAAAATTGTTTAATATTCAAATAATTCCTTGGAAGTTGCCTAAGTAAAAATGAAAGAAAGCACTTAGATGTCAAACAAGCAAATGAAAGACAAGTAAAGTAGCTGTGATCACACTTGAAAGCTATTAACCTTCACTGTAATAGTGATTCTTACTAGGAACATGCAGTCATCTCTCAGAGAAACAAACTATTCTTATATTTTAGCTTATCCACATACAAATATTTTTCTAAAGCCCACTTGTATTACAAATGGATATCTATTATATTCTTGTAAAGTCAATTTTATAATAATTTATCCAATTTAGCTTTGGTGGAATAATGTATCAGGGCTTTTTCAATTTAATTTGTCAATTGCTTGGAGAAATTGGGCTAATGGGCACAGGTAGACAAAGGTGAACTCACTGTTTTCTCTTTCTTTATTTCACCTCCATCTCCAACCAAAATTTTTTGTTCCTGGTCTGTTTTCTTTTGTTTATCAATTGGGATCCCCCTGTCAAGAAAGGGACTTGCTGCCCACCTACAGGGAGTGAGGTCAGCAGACAGCATCCAGCTAGCATCTCCTTCAGAGTAGGTTTCTAGTACAGAGTACTAAATGGAGATCTGGGCAATACATCACCATGTCAGCCACAATAATTCATAGAAACCAAATGGAAGTTATCCCAGGAATGCAAGGTTGGCTCAACATTCAAACAAATTAGTGTAATTTACCATATTAACAGAATAAAGAAGAAAAATCATATGATTATTCAAGTAGATGCACAGAAAAACCTAGACAAAATTTTAAATTCATCCCTAATGAAAGCTCTCAAGAAATAAAGGAATAAAAGGAAGTTTCCTCAATCTGATAAAGGGCTCTAACTGCCAGAATCCACACCAGCAGTAATTGTGGCTGAATGGTTAAGACAATGGACTAGAAAAAGCTTCAACTAACACTGTACTTAATGCTGATAGACGAAACACTTTCCTCTTAAGATAAAGAATATAGCAGGGATTTCTGTTTTTACCACTTCTACTGAATATAGTAGTGAATGTTTAGCCAATGCAGTAGGCAACAAAAGAAGTAAAATAAAATTCAGAAATTATAAATAACATGATTATCTATGTAGTGTATTGTTAAGGAAAACAACAGCTCTCAGATATTTGCCTAGAGAATGCTATTTTAAGAAATTGTTGGGCCTGCATGGGGGAGAGGCCACGCCGGGACTGTGCAGGTTCCTGGGAGAGGGCAGAGTCAGGACATGCTACCCCAAGTCCAGTGAGAAGGAATGTGACATTTCTTCCGAATTCATCCTACAATCAAATGTTATGCCAAAGAAAAAATTCTGAAAGGATTTTCAGTGTGAAAACTACAAGAATTTCTATTAACCATCTGAGACAACATAAAAAATAGAATAGTGGCTGCTAGGGATTTGAGAGTTTGCAAGATGGCCAAATAGGAACAGCTCTGGAATGCAGTTCCCAGTGAGAATAATGCAGAGGGTAAGTGGACACCATATTTCCAAATGAGTTATTACTGCCCCCAGACCAGGAGATTCCTGGGCTGAAAAGTGCTACAAGTTTCCAGCACTGCTCTTTCAGCTGGTGCAGTGGGTTTCCACATAAAAACTCACACAAATCTGGGCAGCCATTTCAACTGGCACCTGGAACACCTCGGAGACAGAGCCACCTGTTCAACTGAAAAAAAAGAGGGCTGAAACACGGAGCCAGAAGATCTGGCTTAGTGTGTCCCACCCCCACAAAGACTAGCAATCTGAAATGCTGTGGACTGAAAATTTCACAGCAAGGGCAGCTGGACCTGGGATGGTCCAGCTCTGTTGGGGGAAGGGCATCTGCCATTACCGAGGCAGTCCACCCCTACTGAGGCAATCTGCCATTACTGAGGCAGTCCACCATTACTGAGGCAGCCCCATTACCAAGGCAGCTCTAACTATACTGCTATAAACAAAACTGCAAGGAAGTTCACACAGCAGCTGGGCAGAGCCCACAGAAGCTCAGCAACTCCTCTGCTGGCAGACTGTGACTAGGCTACCTCCTTGCTGGGCAGGGCATCTCTGAAAAAAGGCAGCAGCACGTCAAGAACTTGAAGCCCCACCTGCGCAGGACAGAGCACCTGGGGAAGAAAGGCAGTTATGAGTTCCACTGCCGCAGACTTAAACATTCCTGCCCAGCAGCTCTGAACAGAACAACAGAGCTCACAGCTCAGCACTTGAGCTCCTATAAGGGACAGACTGTCTCCTCAAGCAGCTCCCTGACCCCCATATATACAAAGATTCACCTCATAAAGGAAAGCTCAGGCTGACATCTGGCAGGTACACTTCTGGGATGATGATAGCGGAGAAAGAAACTGGCAGCAACCCTTACTGTTCTGCAGCTGCCACAGGTGATCCCCAGGCAAGCAGTGTCTGGAGTAGTCCTACAGCAGAGGGACCTGTTAGAAGGAAAACTAAAAACTAAAAAAAAAAAGCAGAAATAACTTCATCATCAACAAAAAGGATGTCCACTCAGAGAACCCATCTGAAAGTCACCAACTACAAAGACTACAGGTAGATAAATCCACAAAGATGGGAAGAAACCAGTGCAAAAAGGATGAAAACACCCCAAACCAGACCGCCTCTCCTCCTCCAAGGGAACATAACTCATCACCAGCAAAGGAACAAAGCTTGAGGAAGAATGAGTCTGATGAATTGACAGAAACAGGCTTCAGAAGGTGGGTAATAAGAAACTACTTGGAGCCAAAAGAACATGTTCTAACCCAATGCAAAGAAACTAGGAACCTTGAAAAGATTTGTCAAAATTCTAATGAGAATCAACAGCTTAGAGAAGAATATAAATGACTTAATGGAGCTGAAAAACACAAAACGAGAACTTCACGAAGTATACACCACCTTCAATAGCCGAATCAACCAGGCAGAAGAAAGGATATCAGAGATTGAAGATCAACTCAATGAAATAAAATGAGAAGGCAAGATTAGAGAAAAAGGAGTGAAAAGAAATGAAAGCCTACAAGAAATACAGGATTATGTGAAAAGACCTAATCTACATTTGATAGGTGTACCTGAATGTGATGGAGAGAATGAATCCAAGCTGGAAAACACTCTTCAGGGTGTTATCCAGGAGAACTTCCCCAACCTAGCAAGTCAGGCCAACATTCAAATACAGGAAATACAGAGAACACCACAAAGATACTCCTCAAGAAGAGCAACCCCAAGACACGTAATCATCAGATTCACCAGCATTGAAATGAAGGAGAAAATGCTAAGGGCAGCCAGAGAGAAAGGTCAGGTTACCCACAAAGGGAAGCCCAACAGACTCACAGTGGATCTCTCAGCAGAAACTCTACAAACCAGAATAGAGTAGGGGCCAATATTCAACATCCTTACAGAAAAGAACTTTCAACCTAGAACTTCATATCCAGCAAAACTAAGCTTCATAAGCAAAGGAGAAATAAAATCCTTTATGAATCCAAGCAATTGCTCAGAGATTTTGTCACTATCAGGCATGCCTTACAAGAACTCCTGAAAGAAGCATTAAACATAAAAAGGAACAACTAGTACCAGCCACTCCAAAAACATGCCACAAGGTAAAGAGCATCAATGCAATGAAGAAACTGCATCAACTAATGGGCAAAACAACCAGCTAGCATCAAAATTGCAGGATCAAATTTACATATAACAGTATTAACCTTAAATGTAAATGGGCTAAATGCCCCAATCAAAAGACACATACTGCCAAATTGGATAAAAAGCCAAAAACCATTGATGTGCTGTATCCAGGAAACCCATCTCACATGCAAGGATACACATAGGCTCAAAATAAAGGGTGTGAAGGAAGATTTACCAAGCAAATGGAGAGAAAAAAAAGCAGGACTTGCAATCCTAGTCTCTGATAAAATAGACTTTAAACCAGTGAAGATGAAAAGAGAC